TCGCTAGCGGACAAGTTTGCCAATTGGCATGCTGCACACTCCAGTACTCTCGGAAGGCAGAATAAAAGAGAAAATAATAATCTAAAAGTAAATATTATCTATAAAGACGTTTTATTTAGCATATTTTCAAGCGCAGATCTACAGTTATGTGGAAAAAATTATCGGCGAGAAAGGGATATGCCAGGCACGTGCGAACTGCTTGTAGCTGTACACTCTAGCATATTCGACAAGAACTAGAAAAGAATGGGCTTAGCTAGGCTTCCAAGGCAATAAAGCAATTATCAAATGTAAGGAGGAACATGAGTTAAACCCTATGCAGCGCCACAGTGCTACACAGGCCTCAACACAATGAATGGGCAAGGGTGGGTCACCACTGCTCACCCGGTCCGGTATGTAGTTCACCTAATGAAGTACTAGCGTTTCTTCTAAATCTAAAATTACAGTAGCTTGGCTTTGCTACAGGATTTAGCTGAGCTGTACACGAAAGATGCGGCACAAGCATTTAGACGTCAACACCAGTCGAACACCTGCTACCTTTTCCAGGTCTCTTACAAGATTGGGGCAGTATGTGGCTTAGGGAACCTGAAAAAACGAAAGCCTTGATACTGACTAAGCAACCTTTAACTTAGCGCCCTGAACAAGCTTAACAGCATGCCAAAACCTCAATACAAAAGGGCGATAGCAGTATTTCCAAGTATGAAAGTCTCAAGTGGTTCGGCCTAGCAAGGCACCACATAGGGGCCAAGTGGCTTCGCACTACACTTATTGAATGGGAACACTAGCAATATGAAATAACTCGCTTTTATGATATTAGTCCATTCAGGCTTGCCAATCTCCTAGACTTTGTCGCCATCAACGCGCACTAGGGGAAACTATCCTAAGTGTAAATATGCTATGCTCGCCATCCTCAGGCATTGCTTGCAGACAATCACAAAAGAGGCTTTAAAGTGTAGTACATTCCATTTAATCGCCGACAATGTTTAGGAAGTTGTTTAACCCACACTTCAAGAACGCTGCAAACATAACTAAATCGGTGCTTAGATAGAACGATGTTTCAGACTCCCCTTTTGGCAGCTGCAGTTGAATTATCTGCCAGAAAATCAATGAAGGAGAAAATCGTGATGCCTCGTAGGGGAATTCTTGCGCAATTCCTGGCTCCTATGAACTCTTCGGCACTACCGATCGCCTCGCTTCGATGTCTTATGCGACATGCATCTTTTTGTGTACGCTTTGCAGGGATGGATTCAATGAGACTTCTGAATGGCCAACCTAGATATGCAGGGCAATGTTTCCTCTACATCGGATAAGACAATGATGTTAAGCTTTAACATATGAAAGATTATTGCTGCCACGGCTTCTTTCGTTTACAGGTGTTCTTTTAGCCCAACGCTGCAGTGAATGTGTGCAGTCGAATGCCAGCACGATGATACGGAATAATAATAACACATCCAAATGTGTAAGCCCTAGCTTCCATACCCTCTGGTTCAGCCGACAAGCTTAGTCCAAATTCTTTTTTAGGGTCACGGAACCCATATTGTCACAGAAAATGGATTAGAGGCAGACTTTACGTAAGTGCCCTTGCAGAAGCGAAACCAAATATACAGCATTCTGAGTTAAAGCCAAATCTTTTAAATCCATCGTAAGATTGGCGTGATTCCATTCCTACAGCCGTATTCTGGCCCCCCAGTTTGATCTAAACATCCAAGAGGACCTCTATCAACTGTGGTGGTGCCTACAAACATCGGCTTGTGTGAGATCCTAACTCTGCCTGTATCAATTAAAAGTTCGAGTCTGGAGAGAAGCAAAACACGATGCAACTGTTTTCCAGGACGCGCTGGACACACATTCAGGTGCCTGCGCAAGTAGGAACTGCACGGAAGGGTTGAGAACGACAGGAATTGCTTCGAGTGTAGCCTGTAGTTGCGCAAAGCTTAATGCTCCTAGCTTTAATACATTTGCCTACTATATCTGTATGAGCTAAAATACTTTGCGGTGCGGAGCCAGGTATAGAACCTGTTCGCATGCACAGGCATGAATCTTGAACACTAGAACATGCATACAATATGATAGCACATGCATGCAACAATTCAAACATGAGAGGCTACACACACAACATGGGTAGCGCGCGTGTATACTGAGGCAGGCCGAAAGCGTCACACGCGCCCTTCACCTCCCTTGCATCCCCCGGGCTCTCCGCCTGTCTTACGGAAGTCATTAAAATCGGTGCCTTGTTAGACTTTGTCTCTTATAGACCTGGTCTTTTCTGGAGAGTAACAAAAATATATTTGATGGCCAGGGAGCCCCTGGGAATGCATGCTTTGACGCGTGCGGACGAAAACCCAGCATCAGGTTGATAGTTCTATTCGAGGTTGCGCCACGATAATGATCCTTCGTTGAGCTTTCAGAAACTCAATGACGGTATCTACACATCAAAACTGAACCTCATCTGCCGTAGTGAAGATGGAGCCACCGTACTGGCGCAAAAAGAGGTTCACAAACATAAGATTAGAAGCTGTCAGTTTATCAGGCAGCACGACGATACGTGGCAGTCCACTTCCAGAGCAACAAGGTAGATGTGATGCAGACAGCTTCGCTCTCCTTGTATTATTGGTTGAAGGCCTTGTCCAATGTGTTCAGCCTCCGCGCCGTCGGTGTATCGTGTTTCCCAAGGGGCGAAGCACTCCCTTTACTGAATCTGTACTCGAGATTCAATGCACCACACAGAGAGCAAGTGTTTCTACGTGGTGGCAATCGTTCTTTTCCAGATAAAAATTCAAAAACAAGTCCATGAATCCTTGGATCAAATTAGCCCTACAAAGGTACTTCGTTGATGTCCTACACCCCCAAATTCTTGCTACGTGCAATGTCCGATGGGTTCGGTCTTGATCGCCAGCACTCATCCTAGTGAAAGATACTCTTCGCTTTACAAGCAGAGCTAACAGGTTTTCGTTATTGTCCGGTAAGGGCCTCAGGTGCTATTCTGGGATGTTTGTGTGGCACATCCTCTTGTGCGATGCCACACAGTGCGCAGGAATCCGAGCGTCCGTGCATTTGCAGGTGCTGCCTTTGCTCTTCGAGAAATGTCTCCTTCGGTACCTAAATGTACTGCGAAGGCGTCATATCATGTTCCTCGAGACTGTGCACACAGCTATGCAGGTTATTAGTTTAGCTGCATCAACTTGCAGAGTAGCTAGCCATGTCCTGCTTAAAAGAACAGATGTGCCACGCGACGTATAATAGAATATAGTAGAGGTCTGCGCCTCCTGCTGGTCGCCCTGGTTCTGCTGGCAGCACGGTGCTGGCAGCAGCGATACTGGATTTTCTTTTCCTACATGTCTCATGGCTCCTGTAATTCCACGGGTTCCATCAATCGCGTTGGAGCCTACTAGGTGGGGGTGGGTGGCTGCAAGGCTTTTGTGGGCAAAGCAGGGGCATGTTGCTTGCACACTTCATGATATTACTTTCACCTTAGTTGTAGAGTCCTTTTCCTGCCTGGCGGCCGAACACGGCAACACGGCAAAGAGGTTACGCATCGTAGATTCAATGGAAACAGCCGAGGGTGACACTCAGGTTGATTTAGGCAATTAGTATTTGTTGCATTCTTGGAGGTTGAGAGCAGGTAAACACGTAGAAGCGAGATGCCTAAGGGCCTCGTAGGGAATGGACCGTTGATAAAGGAGTAGGGCAAAAAATCTGCTACGCTCTGCACAGAAAGGCATGTGACGGAAGGTTACTCTCTATGAAAATCCAATTTAAATTCAAGACAAACATATAAGTGGGCTTAACTTCATGGTTACCAATACTGAAGCATTTCTGGTGCACCCAGTGGACTAAAGCTACGTGGCTCCAAGGATCCAGATATTCGGAAGAAAGGGCGCCTACCATGCTAATTGCCAAAAATGGGGTATTTTACTACGCATTTTCAATGTGAGCATGTTTTATTGCTACTTTAAAGTTTGATTGCATATCATCCTCTGTAAGGAACCTGCTTGGATGAGCCACTACAAGAGAGCTGCCATTTTAGAGCTCTAGGATCTAGGGGATGGCTAAATTACCTGAAAATGTTCTGTATAGTCTGGTCAGAAACTTGAAGTGACTCCCGCAAGTCCACGACGGACATTTCAGCACGCATGCACGTAGTTCCCATGAGCTACGTAGCCCCCAGCGTGACCTCGTACTACTATCATTCGATGCAAAGGTGAAGTGACTCCAAAATGTCCTAGTTTATATAAGTAGGGTGAAGAGCACACGGACGTAAGACTGAGGATAGTATCCCAGTCGCTTGAGTGCACGGAAAGCAGCCGCCGCAGGAATGTATCTGGATAGCTCAGTGGCTCTGCGAGGGGGCGGGGATGAGTTACGGATGGAAGAGGCACGGTAAGAATGCAGGACTATAAAGGGATGAAAGGGCTTACTAACTTAGTGGGAAGAAGTGAAAATTTTCTCTAGAGGCACAAGGAATGGCGGGACATAGTCCATTGTCCTTGCTCCTCGCATGGAGGGGCTCATCAAAGTGCGGCAACATGGAATTTAAAAGAAACCGCAGCGCGCGCCCTATTAATGTACGGGGTGTAGGAGCCAAATGGCCTCCCTCAGCGAATCTTGTGATTTATACTGCGCTTTCGTCTCGCTTGAGAAAAGCCCATCACATCTCGCATGGTGCTGTGCAATGTGGCCTCGGACGCTCTTGGGGGCCACAATATGTTACTGCAAAATAGCCTTTTAAAAACTGAGATCGCATAAATAGTGAGGATACCAACGGAAATACAAGGAGACATCGAACAAAAATGATACTGAAAGTGACACAGAGAGCCAAATGGAGTTATTGTCTCGCCAATATAAACAGGTACGAAGGCGCGTGGGCGAGCAAGGGACCCTCCGCTGCTACTGCGGGGGCAACTGGTATACTTTCGGTCAGTTACATATCAAAATGAACGGAGAAGGGCCACGTAATGCAGATACAGTAGGCAGGCAGACACCTCCTAAGTCTCTGGCGCGAGCTACTCTTCATCGGCTGCTGCAGAAACTGGCGGGACGGATAATTCCATTGGAGCCAGAGGCAAGTCTGCTCCAGATGCTCCAATGACTCCGTCCGACTGATGCGTTATCGCAGATACCCCATGAATCTGACTGAGTCCTCTGGACGCTTTGGACGCCCCTTGGGGCCTCCAAGCACTCGTGGCCGCTGTAGTACGAGGGCCCTCGGCTCCGTGCGACTGCTGCTGATGCTGTGATGGGTCGTGCCGCCTATGGCCGGACTGTTTGGCTCGCCTCTCCCTTGCTGGACCAGCAGCAGACCCTTCGAAGTGCTTCCTACCGCCTGTCACTTGGTTATGGTGGTGCTGAGGCTGCTGCTGCTGCTGCGGCTGCTGGAGGTCGGCCTCCAAGTGCTTCTTGTCTTGGCGCTCTAGTCCCGAGGCAGGGTTGTTCCCGCACTCTGCGGCTTCAGTGCTGCTCCCGCTTTGACGGTCCACGCTGGAAATGCTCCTTGTAGTACGGCCCTTTGCCTTAGGGGGGAAGTCTGCACTGGAGGGTGCCGCAGTTGCTGGCCGGCCAGGTTGCGGATGTTGCTGCTGCCGATGTTGGTGATGCCGGCGGTTTGCTTGAGTATCCGACGCTTCTCTCGGAAGCCCCCCGGCGGCGTTGGAGGCACCATTTGTAGCTCTAGCCTTGTTCGACTCGTGAACTCCCTGACTGAACCCTGTCCAGCGGCCAGTGCGCGACCTAGAAGTCCAACCACCGGCAAATGCAGTGGCAGCCGACGCCGCTGAGTCTGCTGCAGGATTATGTCCCACAGCGTCCACAGCAGCTGCCTTTGCTTCCACCCTGTGTTTGCTACCGCTGCTGCTGCCAGCGCGGGGATGCACCCCACTGGAAGCGGAGACAAGCCGAGAAGACGGGGTCTGCGGAGTACCGTCTGCAGCTCTTGCTGCTGCTGCTGCCTCTTCAAGTCTGCGTGCCGCCTGACGCTCCTGCTCTGCCTGCGTCAGTGCCGCATGCGCACACAAAAGCCTAGTGTGGTCGCCCGCATTAAGAAGAGCAGAGAGGTGCGCCTCCGTCTAATTGGGAGCGCGCTACAAGGGATCGACAGGCCCATTTTTGTTACACATTCAGTGGAGGTGGTGGCAGCAGTGACCTTGGGCTGACTCGGAAAGCACCTGCCCCCTTACGAGCGAGGGGCTCAGAGAAATTGATGACTAGGGAGGACCTGCGCAGGCCTACTGGGAGCCTCACAATGCGGTGTCTCTTTTCCACTTCTCTGTTGTTTGCACTTATGGCCTGGATGCGTCGATCGAGGGCCTCCTCTTGCTGCATGTCTCGCTGCCGCGGTAAGGGGGCTGAAGTACCCGTAGAGACAACCGCCGTCGGGCGGCCGTGACCTGAGAGACACTCGGAAAGAAGCGATCGAATCAGCGAATATCTTGCAGAAAGAGAAACCCTTGCTTGTGTGTTAAAGAAGGTCGCAGGGTGTCGTTGCTCACCTGTCGAGGAGGTGGCACTACTTCTGGGGACCTTGACCGTCTCCGCATGGCCTCCACAGTAACCATCCCCTGAACTGCCCATTCCAAAGCGGCTTTGCAGCTGCCGCCCCCCTCTGCGTGCTCGCTGCTGCTGCGCATGCTGGTCTGAGGGGAACTGTCTCAAGGATCCCCCACGATCGTGCCTTGGCGGATGCTGTGAGGCAGCAGCAGTTGCGGAGGCCGCTGCTGGCAGCCGCCGCTGCTGTCGGTCGCCCTCGGTATGACTGCTGCGTCGCTGCAGCAGGGGGCCCCCAGGAGGGGGCCCTCGGGAGTCTTGGGGAAGCGCTCTGCTCTGCTGCCTGCGAGGAGGCTGGTGGTGCTGCTGCTGGAGCTGCTGCGCGTGGCCTCCATGTGGCTGCATGCGCTCCGCTGCCGCTGCTGCCCCTACCGCTGAAGGCTGCGACGTGCGAGAGGGAACGCTCACGGCCGCATGCTGCAGCGGCTGGGCTTGCTGCTGAGCTACAGCCGTACTACACTGGCTAGAATCTGGTGCTAAGGCTACGGTGGCAGGAACCGCAGCTGCTGCTGCTGAACCGCAGTCCGGTGCATTGCTGCGGTGGATCTTGCCTCCTCTGCCCCGACAACTGCTCACCGCTTGCGATGATCCTTGAAAGCCTTGGCGATTTCTCACAGTGTCGCGGCCCTTGTGCTGCGACTGCTGCGGAGGCAATGCCCGCTGCTGCTGAGCCGCCTCTGGCTGTGGGCTCTCCACCGATTGACTGCGCGATTCTTGCGGGGGGTGGTAGTGCTGCTGAAGTGGCTCTCGCACATCCGACGATTCTGCGTATTCTCCATGGAGTATTTTGTGTTGTTCTGCTGCTGCTGCTACAGATACATCTGCGCCTGAAGCGGCTTCCGTCTGCACTTCGCATGCACCTGCTGCTTGAGGCTGCTGTTGGTGTTGCTGCTGCTGGTCGCTCGGCAAGAGCTGCTGCATGTCCTGTTGCGGTGTCTGCTTCCCTTGATCCGAAAGCTTCTGCTGGTACTGAAGTTGCTGCTGCTGCAGCGCTTGCAGCAGCTGCTGCTGCTGCAGCTGCTGCTGCATTTGTGGCAGCAAGGCTGCAGCAGGGACGCCGTAAGCAGCCGACAGCTTGGCTTGCTGCGCTAGGGTGTATGCCGCGTACGGCTGCTGCTGCAGGTAGGGGTCTTGTTGCTGAATGTGCTGCTGCAACTGCTGTAGCTGCAACTGCTGCTGAAGCACCAAGGCCTGTTGTTGTTGCAGTTCCAGAGGGGTCCCCGTGGGCTGCTGCATGGCATACAGTACTGGCATCTGCATGTGCTGCAGCGGCTGCTGCTGCTGTAGCTGCTGCTGCTGCATCTGTTGGAGTTGCTGCTGCTGCTGAAGCTGCTGCTGGTCGAGGCCCGTAAGCGGTCCCATCTCACTAAGGCAATAGGGCTGAAGGGGTGCCAGCTGAGTAGCGACTCCGATTTGTTGTAGTTGCTGCAAGTGCTGCAGCGCTGTGCCTGTTGCAGCAGCCGCTGGTGCCATGCCCCCATAGAGCGAAGGTGCTGCTGCTGCAGCGGCGGCTGCATATGCCGCTTCGTAGGCCGCAACGCTGCTGCCATACGGATCTAGAACTTGCTGCTGCTGGAGATGGTGCTGCTGCAGTAGCTGCTGCTGCTGGGCTTGATGCTGTTGCAGCAGGTGCTGCTGATGCCTACTCTCCTCCTGCTGCTGCCTCGAAGCGACATCTGCAGCGTCCATTTGATAACTCTTCCTTGTATATTCCGATGGTGGTGGCATAGAGCCATCGAGCGGAGGTTGAATCTGCTGCGAATACGAATCATCTGTCTGATTCGGCGGTACATTCTGCTGCGCCTGCAGCAGCTGCTGTTCCTGGTGCTGTTGATGCAGCTGCTGCTGTCTCTGTTGCTGTGGCTGCTTTCTAGCGCAATCAGCGCGCCAGGCGTCCTTCAGGCCTCTCTGCTGTCTAGTGGGAGGTGCTTCTGAGCTTCCCATCCCTGCCCTTGGCCCTCCCCGTCGAGGAGCCGCTGGACCATCCCCTGAGTACGCCATTTGCTGCACATTGAACGTTCACAAACACACACGCTTCCTTAAAGGCAGTGATACTCCCGCTACTCCCAACGTGTAGCAACGGGGGCACTTCGAACGCCTAATGGTGTAGATGGCATAGCTTTTTCGAATTGGATCGGCTAGTAGTTCCTTTATTTGTGTCTCGATGCATAAGAGGCTAAAAGGTTAAACCACTTGGCCTTTTGCTCCGTCCATACGGAACCGGCACTACTACCACTTGCAGCAACCAGACATACATTTGAGAATCCAGGAAGCAAATAATGCTGCGGCAAGTACTGCAGCAAAATTTACTACGCCGCTATGTGCTGCTGCTGCGATTTTGCTGCAGCAGCAGCACTAACAGCCACCCCGTTGCCACAGGGGGGGCACTGGAGCACAGGGAAATGTGGGGGGTCCCTGTTGCTGACGATACTCTTGTTTGGGTGGCCTAGGTGGCATGTCTTTGGGTTTATGTGCTCTCTACGTTTTTCCTTTTCTAGGGGGCCCCCTGCATGCGTTACTGCTGGGGGGGGGCCCCGATACGAGCACTTGATGATGCTCTGCTGTGCCCCCCACAGCAGCAGGGATTGGGGCTGGGTGTGCTGCCTGCCATGCTTGGCTGCTAGCAATTTTTGCATCTAAGGAATACAAAATATGCGTCATCTTCTTGTTGCTTCGTTTTCTAATGAGATCAGGCGTGCTGCTGCTGTATGGTCTGCCGAACTGCTGACCTTACTAGGTCGACCATCACACAATGCTCCTTTTTTGCGCAGTTTTCGGAATACCTTTAGCGGAAACTGCGTCTGCGCACACGCATCCCCTACAGAGGGGCAATATGTTATGAGCAGTGAGCCAAGGCTAAAAGTCAGGATGGGCCTGGTGGCTGCTCCAGAGTCTGGGGTGACGTTGAGAAGTAGTCTGAGGTTTCGGTTGGTTTGGAAGCATAGGAAAATTAACACTGCACTGGTGAAGGGTACTACGGTTTCGCTGAAATCAACAGAGGGGGGAGCTTTTCCATCGCTCCGCATGAATAATTGATCTATGCAAAGAGTTAAAGTAGCGGGCCATTTAACTACTTCAAGACCTAAAGTACCCCTCTGGCTTCAGTAGAAGAGCTGCCTGCAGCCCCCCGCGCGATTCCTCATTTTCCCACGCATCCCTTTGCTCTGGAAACTTAGGGCGCTGAGTGAAGGAAGCAGTGGGCTGGGTGCGGCACAGCTTGCTGCAACTTCAGACCAGTCCATGAAGTCGATTGCAAGCAGTTTACTCTGTACAGCAAGGCAAAGTAGTATATCGTCATATGGAAGAACTACCTATAACCAGAAAGGGGTGTAACGCATAAATGCCTGCACTAGTAAGACAATTGGAGCGGAGCCGTCCAAACAACGGCTTGTTTACAGCCAATCTTTGAGTGGGAACTTGTGAACTATTCCTCTGTAGCCCAAACGGGATGCGGAGTTAAACCTCCTTTTCTTTTTGAATTGCGATACTTGCGCGTTGTGATGGGCTTTATTCAGTTTATTTCAATCGGTACCGCCCAAGCTGAGTTCACCGGGCCATAAACGATCAATGTTGCCTTGAAAGCTTCCTGGTGAAACCTCTGCCATGATTAGGCGGTGTAACGCTCCATCATAGGTCTCCATGGGGAAACTCTATACCTCAGGCTCACACAAGAGAGTTAGAAACTTCTTGAATGCTTCTGAAAAGAAACCCCTACTTTACCTGCCTGCAAGCCTCGGGTCTTGACATAAGGGGAAAGGGACAGCGAGAGCACTCGTAGCTGCCCCTTCAAGCCCTGCAGGCTTTAAGAGCTGGTCGAACTTATCACCTAGCCCGCAAGCACACAATGCTCCATACTGGGCCAACAGATCTTTGGGAATGTGTAGGATTTATGAGCAGACAAAGCAATTAATCAATTCTTTACTAATTCATAAATCAAGATATCTAGTGCAGCAGAAAGTGTTTAAGTTTCGAAGCAGCTAGCTACATTCACCCCGGCAATTCATGAAAGACGCTCCCATTTTCATTATCTGTGTGTTGAGACCATCGGAATGCAACACAGCGGAAGGGTTTTCCCCCTAGCGCCAATAATTGGCTTTGTTTTACCGCCGGTCTTTGAGGGAGTCGATAGAGTAATCCAGAGCAGTGATATGTTCTGGAATCGCAAACATTCTTCTCCATCTGGCACAAACTCTTTGCTTACTTCGCAAAGCCTTCCGATACGCCAGGGCCAAATTGCACGGCTCTAAATACACGGGGGGCCACTGCTTTTCATACTTTCATGCTTGTCCCTATTGACCTCTGCACATATATTAACGTGCAGCAGCTAGCTCTTTTCTGAGTCACTCCGCTGCAAAGGGTGGCTGCTGACCCCGGACTACCAGTTCCAGGCTTGGAACGAAGGAGCGCCCCTCAGTGTGGACCAGGGATGCTGGAAAACAACGGGTGGCGAGTGCACTGTTGTACAAGAAACCCACTCAGCATAAGGAACAAAATCAAGCAAAGTTTCCGTAAGCCAGTAGTCACAACTGCTACAGAAAAGTGCGATTGGTGCCCTCTATCTTTCCTTCCTCCTCATGGTGGTTCACAGCGGTCATACTATGATCAGTACGTAGACAGGTCATGAACGCACGACAGACTTCACTAAGGAATTCAGGACCCTTAATTATGAAGACGCCCCTAGGAAGCCACCACATGAGTTGAAAAAGTTGCCGGCTTCTTGAAGCGTTAAATAGCTGGATCACGACATAGACTGACCATATTGCTGAGTCTGCTAACACGATGTGGATACTATCCTGACCTCCAACATCCAGCAATCAAACAATAATGCTCACAGGTTAGAATAGTACAAATACTTTCCGGGACAAAAAAGCTTTGCGAATTGCTGAGGTAAGGAGAATTTTGCGACTTCAGCTGCTAACAACCTGGGCATGAAATTGCATACCTCCTGGCAAGGGGACGCATCCCAAGCCACCAGGTCGGAATAAAAGCTTTGCCACCCCAGTGTTTGTCAAATGAGTGTGTCCGTGCTTTCGTTTGCACCACATTAGACTATCCTCAATGTGGTAGTGCTCAACGCTTGTGCCATCGTGGATTTTGGCAGTCTTCGTCAATGCACAAACTTCTAAACATAATGCTTTGCACACTTTTGATAGACAGTGAACAAGCGGAGCCAAGCACGGCTGTCTTGCAGGACATTAAATTGCTGAGGTATCACAAGAGCGCGTTGGTGAAAACGTTGCACATGATCTGAGCAAACCTGTCTATGAGGTAGCACTGGCTGAAAAAGTCCACACTGGTGGAAAAACTCGAGAATTCCAGAAGCTTCTTGTTATGGTGCAACAAAAACTGTTCGGAGGTCTAGACAGTCTACTGCCACCCTCATAAGTACTGCTCTCAGTCGTTCTCTACACCACCACTCCACTTAGAGCTCCACTTGCCTCACTGCGTGCCGCTATTCGGCTTTGGTGAACTGACGAGATAAATGTGCAGTGACTTGGTCATGTTGGAAAACCTGTAGCGCGGTGGGAGAGAATAGCAGCCACCGCTACATCGCTAGCATCGCTGGTTAGGGAATAATGGCGCTGTTAATCGGGCAGTGCAGTTGCCGGCGGAGTTTTAAGAGGCAGACAAGCATTCATGCCAATGCATCAGCCTTTCGGAGCACAGTGTGGGGATAACCAGGGCATCAGCCTAATACGGTGCGCTAGAAGACCAGCAGGTGCCCACGTACATCTGCGAACGCCTTGATATATGTACAGTTGATTTTTCTCCATGGTACAAATTTAATCAAATTTTGGAACATCGAACTCAGTTTAATTATGCGAAGACAGAATAAGTGTTAAGAACCGTCTAGCCTCAGTGCGTTGTTACGCCGCCCATAAAAAGGACTCTGGCTCACTTCGTTTGGGCGCAAACTCTACACCGCTTACTACAGATGCTATTAGCCTTGCTGAGGAGACCAATATACCCTGATATCTAGAACTTTTGACAGACGCTCTCCAAAGCGCTCGGTTGTGGCCACATGCACTCCTTCCGTTGGGGCAACCACGGCATTTCTAGGAATACGTCATGGTCAATGGTCCAATATAGAAGTCACAAAGCACGCTGATAGAGTTTGATTGTGATTTAAATGGCTTGTTGGTGACGCAATCACCCCATTGCTTGCATTCATACTGCCCATCAACGCGACTAAGTGTTATTGCACAAGTGTGATCTGGCTGACCACTAGCTGGAGCAGTCCTAGTCTCTTTTTATTGCAGGTCCACTAACCTCCGGTGTCAAAAAGGCCTAGCAATTCTTAACCACTAATGTGAGCCTGTGCCAGTGCAAAATAGACCCTGCTGCGACTCCAACTGACCCTGTATCCTCTATGTCTCCCTCCAGGTTGCTGCAGCATGCATGGGAGGCTTTCTGCTTCCCTGACGCGCCTTCTTTGAGCGCCAAGCACCATGTTTCCGCTGAGCCCATTACCGTCGCTCAAGTTCCTTGGCCCTTTTAATGCACCTGCAGTTCCAGGCTATATGACCCGATTTCACAATATGAAAGCGGGTGTGATGCTGCGGGGGGGCTGCCTCGGGTTGCCTGGGAGCGCGGGTTTTCTGTGGCTTCCTGTCCCCATTTGCCTGAGGCTGTAGGCTAGGGCCGCTTGACACAACTCCGAGCTGACAGCAATGACGGCGTTGAGCTCGGTTGCTCTTGAGATATCAACTAGTTCTCTCTGGGTTCCCCTTTGTTCGACTTTTTAATCGCTGAGCCGCCTTCTAACCTACGGCCCACTTCACACCGCACTTAGGGTAAACCAGAGACAGACCACGGGTAAGGCAACTGCTCGTCTACGTCGTGGCTTTTTCAAGGCAAAGTATTATATTTCTGGATATACAGGTCTGCTGCTTGATTCCCTTGCCTGAGTCTACTCAATTCTCTTCAAGCTTACTGTGGTGATCCCGGCAAAAACGGATACGCCAGGGCCTGTATGAGAGCTGCAACTGTAGTATTCTCTGCAGGCAAACTACTTCTAGTACAAGGATAGAGGTATTATTGAATTGCCTCCACCTGTATCGACCATGACGGAAGGAGAACTCACTTCTTTTCTTCTGGGACCAACAAAAGAGGTACATCTCTCACTGGCTGTTGAGATCTTTGAATGCTTGCCCATCCTTACGGCAATCATAGTTTTGAGGTCGGCATAACATCATTGCCATATCCAACTCCATATTGACGGCTGATAAATTGAGCCTTTCGGCAAGCTAAGGAGCCACTGGGTTCATAAACTTGCCGGCCGAGCTCTACTGTCTAATAGGCGTTGTTTCACCGTTTACCTCTATTGCCAGAGAATATTTCGAGCATGCTACCAAAGAAAATTCGATTATCATACTCCTAAATGACTTCAATTAAAGTGGGTGGCCGTTGTGGGGAAACATAGGCTCACTGTACCACAGCCAGTGGAAAGAGCTATATGGAGCCACGCGGTGTTACCAGCCGTACCGCTTCATGCAAGGTCTCAGCATAAAGGCACTTAACTCCAGCCTCCATACAAATTTAATGGAAATCAGTAGAGGTACTTTGCAATTTTTTTTCTCTTTCTTCGCTTGCTCCTCAGAGTTCCGCCATGTAACCAGTGGAACAGCTAGGGTACAAGTTGCTTGACCCCTTGACCGCTCCGAGCTTTGACACCGAGGTGCTTATAGCATCTAGCCCATAAAGACACAAGATTGCGTCCATCGAGTTGGTGCTAATATGCAATAAATAAGATGCACGAACGCCAAATCGTATGCTATGAAATATAACTAACAGAAGGGAAATGTGTAAATGTGACTTAGCTCGCTACGGTGAAGAAGACAGTTAAATCAATGTGAGCATGCCTTTAGCTTCAAAGCACAACGGCGGAAAGGGGGTTTCAACACTGATCTTATCTCTCTGCTATGACTGCACAGTTTGTATTACTGTCTCTACTCGCTTGTTCAAGGCATTTTGTGCAAGAAAAGCGCCTTTAACACCAAGGTCGCGTGAGAGGTGATTACGTACGAACTTGCGGAAGCCAGTGCCTTGCATTAGCTTAAGGAGCTATTCATACGAGCGTGAGCCACTTAACAGGCACTCACAATGAATTGCATAGATGACACTTGTCTTCTGTTTTCGCATTGTTCTTCAGTGGAACAGCAGCACCAGCAAAGAGAGTGTGGACTTCGAGTACTGGTGCCCAGTCACTTCGAAACCTCCATAAGTATGGGGTCAAGGCCGTTCATCCTTGCAGTAAAAGACATTTTGGAGCTTATGAGGCAGATTCATCTCACTCTTTCGGATGCACCTCAGAAACAATGTACATTCCCCATCAGACAATGCACCGGCATAGTTGGAACAGTAGAGGGGATAGGGAGATATACCATCGCCTCTTGCTCTGATCTAGAAACTTCTACAAGCTGGGAAATTCACCCTAGCCACCAACATTTTTCCGTACGGTAGCCGCTATCTAACATTGTTCACCAACCTAAGCATGATGACCCTCCTCTCGTAAGTCAACTTGTTTCAAGAATCTATACCCTGCCACCAACGGCCAATTGAGGTAAAGAAAGTAAAAGTAGGGGCGAAATAGGCTCGGAAAAAAAATACTGCGCTTTGGGTGAAGGTGGAACTTGCAGCATATGTGCCTTGGCACACTCTTCTGAGTATTTCGGTAATTTAGAGCGGGATACAGGCATATTGGAAGCTCTGGAGGAGTGCCATGAGCTTACTAGCTTAAGAAAAGTGACAGTCACAGGCAACCTTGTATGTCGCCATTTTCCACAGATACCTGCAGGCTAACCTATGAAGAACGCTTCTTCTGCATCCACGAGCGGAGAGGTAGAGCTATTTGAAGCCTTCTTCGTAAGCGTTTGTCACTTTATAAGCCATGCTTTTCGTCGATGTACAAGCGATCGATGAGGGCTTCGCCACAGCATCATGTTTGGCTGAAACACACAACTAAAATTTATTCGAATTGTCCCCCAATACGCCTTTTTTGGCCTCCAAGCTGCAGAAGAAGCAAACATATGATCAAATGTAAGCTGCCTGCTTGTTAGCTGCAAATATCAGACGGTATGCGCTATTTTTCTTGGAGACTGCCACGCTGCTCAGCAACAAATGCCTACTTTGGGCTACAATTCTGGAGGTGGGAGTCTACGCAATTTCTGGAAAGCGCATCCAGCACCTAAACACCACTGTAGCGCCAAATAATAAACCTCAACCAGTGAAATTCATCTGGCATTATGCGTACCTCGCGTACACAGTCGAGTGGCGTTTATATCGCTCGCTGGCCTCTTTCCCTGGGTGCAGTAAATGATACCTGCTGCCCGCATCCACCTGCACGTCACTGTGTGGGGAAAATTGGTGAAGTTGGGCACTACATTTTGAGTCTGTGCCAAGAGAACTACGGTTTTTTCTTGGGGTACTCCCCATGATCGTGATGACTATGCAAAAGCATGCCAAAAGCAACTTTCGAATTTCTACTTCATAGGGGTACATTTAGGGAGATTATCCACGCAGCACATGAGCCCTGGATCTTTACCCCACTGATTATTTGTCTTTGTGCTCTTCTGTGTATCGCTGGTCCTGTGCGACTTCCCGTGAAAGGCTAATTTCGCTTCCATGGAAGGAGCTGCACGTTGCTCTGTTTCACCTAGGTCCAATATTTCCAGTGTTTTCCCCAAAGAAATCCTATCTCACGCTAATAGCCTTGCTAACGATTTAGAAGTCGGCAGGGAAGAACATTTCAAGTACGAAGACAACCGCTGTTATCCATAACCTGAGCGGCCCCGGAGGGAAGTCCGGAGATGCGGCCTGTAGTATACAAGCTCAGGAGGTTCCCATGATATACCAGCATCTGCGCGCTAATAAATTCGCTCTATGTCACAATTTCCGTCGTTAGGTTACGGAAACTGAGGAATATGCATGGCAATACAGCCTCGCGCAAGCTGCCGCTGACGGCTGTCGGCTGCATGGGGAAGGCGACGGGATAACTCATAATAAAGCATCGCAGCTGCCGTTTTCTCTTCAAGTAATACAGAATATCTTTCGTTTAAATGCATTCTTGCAGCCTTCTTCGTTGGTCTGCCAGCTTCCAAAATTCAACTGCAATGCGCTGGCCCCATACCTAAAACAGGAGCAGCCCCGTAGAAGATCCTTGGAGACAGGGGCCGTAACTGCGGAAGGGGATACTCTGTACGCCATATGTATATTTGGCATCTATCACCCTTTTCCCGAGATATCTGACACCAGGGCACCATGAGCGCCACTGTTCCTCGCCTTCTCCTCAGGCCTGCCAAAAGCCCATATTTTTTCAGCCCTGCTGCAGCAGGCACAGGCATTTACCGGTCCTGGACGGCTGCAACTGTAAGGGCCAAAGAGGCTGCAGTGGTATTAGCTCCGACTGGCCTGTGTGTGTCTCGCCGTCCACTAACCAGCAGCAGCAGGATACGAGGGCCGACTCAGGGTGATTCACCAGCAGCAGCCGTGCGTGCTACTGTAGAGGCCCTGCAAGATCAGCTTTCAGTGACGGCAGCAGAGAAGCAGAAACATTTACAGCGCATCAAACAGGAATGTGGGGCTGTGCAAATCGGGATAGTAACTCCCCAGAACGTAACTGGGGGTGAGTCGTACGGCCAGCCGGATTCCTTCATGTTTTTTATGCTGGCACTGGGGGTTCTCGAGCATTAGCTTTGATCAGGAAAGTAGTAGCGGTGCCACCTCACGGCGGGAGGGAGGGAACAGGGGTGGGCGCGAAAATACCACACTTGCACGTGGCCTTCCCCAGTGGCGCCTACAACGAGTCATGCTGCCCTTTCAGTCGAGCCTGTGAATGCAGTGGATAGGTCCCGCCATGTCTACTACTGCTGCTCCTGTGTGCTTGACCTTTGAAACGTGCCAGGAATGCGAGGCTTGACCGCTCTCTTGACCGAGACCTCCGTTCTAGACCCTGAGACAGGGTTGAAGCTGCACGGCGTTCAAATGCAGCAGCTCCTCCAAAAGGAACTCCCCAAGATCGACCCTGGCCACGAGTATCCCTCAGTGGAGGCTTTGCTGTGGTTCCTGCTGACGTGTCCGTATGGTGGATCGCTTCCTCTTCTTCCGCCCCTCAAACTGCTTGCCTGCCCGCTTCTTCCCTGATCAGCTGTGGCCTGCTTGCCACTTGGCCCGTCTGGCGCTCCCCCTGTTACTCTGAATCTTTCAGTGCCAGTATCTTCCCTTTTGTCTCAAGTACTCATAGCCTCTTTATAGTCCATGTGACGCGCTCTTGCTAGCCCGACCCCGGGTTCGGACGTCGACCTCTGCAAGCTTCCGTTTTCCCCCCGCGGCCGCCTCACTAGTCGTGCAGCACACGAAAAGTTCGCCAGCTTCTGGCCGCTGCCCCCCCTTGCTCCTGCTTTTTACGCATGCAGCAAAGGTCCCTACGGCGGCGCAGGTGGCTCTTCTGCAGCGTTGCCTGTATGAGATGAGCGTCTCCGCTGCGGCGTCTGTGTCGAAGGCGGGTGTTCCCTGCGAAGGCCCCACCACCCTCGAGTCGTATACGGAAGAACGCTTCCTGAGGGTTCCTACCGTAGTATCTGCCCTGCTGGATGCCCTCCCAGCTACTGGCCATCCCATGGCAGCATTTGCAGCAGCTGCCGCTGCGCAGTCCGATTTCTCCTTCTTTAGAGCCACGACAGAAAGTGGCACTGTGGCGAAAAAAGACCTGTGGAAGCCTGCCCTCGTAGATGCCCTTGCTCTAGTATGTTGAAGTCGGTTGAAGTGTTGCTGCGTAGCCAGGGGTCTCTGCTGGGTGCACTCTGGTGCTGCTGCTGGTGTCCTATTGCGCTTTTTGCGGCTGGCGGCAGCGCCAATCCTCGCAGCAGATTCTTCAGCAGTGGACTCAGCAGGCGCCGTTCTCGTAGGTAGGAGGATTGCGTGTCTTTCCTGAGGCTTCTGTGTATGGCCATTCAGGTTGCACGGGCGGCCGTGACAGCCGCACATATCTACCGAAGAAAATTTGCGGATGGCCACGTGTTTCCTCCGGACCCCAACCTGGACTTTGTACACTCAAACCCTATGCCCTAAGAGATAAGCCTAACCTTCGGGGTTAGAGCCTGCATCTGGACTGCGCATATTTCATCGTGCCTTTCGGCCTCTCCATGAATTGCTAAAACTTCTTTCTGCATTTGCCGTATTGTCTCTGTCTCTCTCCTGCTATCGCACGCATCAATCTGCCGCTTCAGCCACACCCGCAGGACCGCCTGCCTGCCATCCCTTTTAAGCTTCTCTGGCGGGGTGACTGCTGCCTTCAGACCTTTGCCCCAGCGCCTCTGGTCTTCGTGTGTATACAGCTGTGTGCATATTGACTTCGCGTATTCCTCCGTCAAAGCTGCCCTTCCAGCTTGTTTTTTTACTACTCCTCGTCCTCCATGTCGCCCCCTAGATCTGCCCATAAAAATTAGCGGGCTTGCAGAATCTGAATCTGCACGTGCCCCCTGCCGCTGTCAGCCAGCCCATGTCTCCGTGTTTCTTGGTCTTTGCTTCCATGCTTTTACTCGTGCCAGTGCCACTTGTGTCAGGCTTTGATGCTTTGACCCCCTGAAGTTTCTACTTCTTTCTTGTGGCCTCCGTCGCAGGCTGCCAACTTCGCACGAATGCTAGGCTTTTCTGGGGAGAAGCCGGAGGAACTGATGAGACTGTACTTGCTTCTGCATGCAGATCATGAAGGTCGGTACAACACGCGCACCCGCAGTACCTTTGCCTTCCGTATTTGTCTGTGCTGCCACCACCGACCCCGCCTCCCTATGGCTCTTATTTGAGCTCCCTCTTATCTTTACTAAGTCTGTCTGTCCGTTTGTGAGTTTATGTATCCTTTTCCCTTGCCGTTCGCTGCCTTGAGCTGCACACCAGCGTCCGCAAAAGAGAGTCTTCACGCTTGAGGCATCCAAACAGCTTCCGCTATTGCCTTCCACAGGAGGAAACGTCTCCGCTCACGCCGCCCATCTCGTTGGCTCTGCGCTCGCTGATCCCTTCTCTGCTCTGGCTGCTGGCATGGCAGGCCTGGGGGGTAAGTATTTAGTAAGGCTTTTCCTACATTGTACACACACGGCTGTCCCATCTCGCTTGCGCTTTTGGGGCCTCTGTACTTATCCACCGACCCTCCTCCTGCGACAGTTGCAATTTCTGCTGCCACTGTTGATGCTTCAGGCCCCCTTCATGGACTAGCGAACCAAAAGTGTTTGGCCTGGCTCCGGTCAGTGCAGCAGCGGTTGGAGGGGTCGCCACCCACGAAAGAAAAGATCAGAGACATAGCGTTGGTAGGTTCTTATGTTGCTTGTACCACCCTGACTGCTGTCCATCTGCATGCAATCAGGCTTGTTTGTGCTGCGGAAGGAGGTGCTTCTCGGCTGCTTCTTGGATCATCCAGCAGTATCCGCTGACCGCCCTGAGGCCGTGATTTCGTTTACGGTGCCTTTAGTGGACGGGGGGTGTTTGGCTACGTGCCTTAGAAGGCCTCAAGGGGCCTGCATGTCGAGAGGGCATGATTTAGCTCTGGGGGTTCTAGCTCTTCTGAGTGCATGCACGTAATGCTCATTTTCTGTCTAGATGCGCCGTTATGGCTTGGAGCAACCCCAGTGTACCGTTATCGGTGCACCCTGGCCATCGTGGGCCTCTGCCCTTCTTTGTAGTGTATTGACGCTTCCTCAGGCGACGCTAAAGTCTGGCAACGTCATTCCTGGATTCGGTCACGCGGTCCTGAGAGTTACGGATCCAAGGTCTGTTGCTGCTGCTGCAAATGCTGTTGCTTCCACCCATTCCTCCTCATTATGACGGCTGCATTCGCATCTGCCGGAGGTGCTGTTGTGCTGCAGGTTTTCGCTGCAGCACGAATTTGCGCTGCGGCACATCCAGAACGATCCGCTTTTTAAGTACGTAGCCTAGTTAGCCGTGCTCTTAGAAGGCTAGCTGGTCAGCCCTCGCTAGCAGACTGGCGAATCGGAGAGCTGGCACGTTGGCCTGTTTGCCGCACACACGGTTCTCGAAGCCCGTCTTTTGGTAGAATCGCTCAGAGGCCGAGCTGCGTGAATCGACTTGTTTTTGTGCGAGCTGGCTGGGTGTCATCGCGAGCCACTTAGCAGAATTAGAACGGGTTAAGGGTCTAAATGATTATATGCGCAAAATCTATCGACGCTATTGCTCCTCAGGCTTCTCGATGTCGTCCGCGTAGTGGTGCCGGAGATTCTTTCCGGTAAAGCGCTACTGGAGTTGCTGTTTTGGGTGTTGGTGATGAAGCTGGGGCTAGATCATGCGTTTGCTGGCAGCGGTACTAGTAGTGTTACCTTGTGGCCTCGCACTGTCTGCAGCCGCTCTACAAGGTGCCTGCCAGTAAAACACTGAGCGCATCGTCTGTGGCAGAGTAAATAAGAATCCGGGTTTGTCTACGCTGCAGGCAAGGTATCCAACCCGTACCCCAACGTGGACTGCCACTCTGGAGTCCTGTTGCAGGCATTTGGCTTGACTCAGGAGCAGTTCTACACAGTTCTATTTGGCGTTTCCCGATCCATGGGAATTGCAGCGCAATTCGGTGAGACATCGTGTTGCTGCTACACGTGGGCTGTCTACGGCTCTTGCCATCTGCAAAAAGTATTTGCCTCTACGTCGCGGTAGGGTCTAGCGGTTGCTGCATCTCCGTGGTGGTCGCCCTATGGTGATGTGTGCGCTTCGCAGTGTGGGCCCGTGCCTTGGGGCTACCTATCGAGCGTCCCAAGTCCGTGACACTTAAATGCTTAGAGCAACTGTGCGCGGAAGCCAAACACTAAGACCATTAAGATCATTACCGGGGAATAGCACGACGCCTGCGAGGCCTACAAAATAGCCTCCATGCGCCATCGCTGATGCTCTTGTCTCCATGGGCTCGTCTTGCTTCGTTTCCGCTACTGCATATGTACTTTCCGCGTAGCAATCGAGTGCAATGGGGACCCTTTTACTGCCCCGCATTTCCGGAAATCACTTAGGTAGCAAAGTAGCTAGCTTAGTGATGGTTGTCTCTGTAGTATACTTAACGGTTTTCAACGAGACCCCCAGTCCCCCCTTGCGTCATCCATATATGTCCTCTACTGCATACTTATACCGAGAGAAGCGGCAGCAAATGTGGTGCTGGATATTCGAGGATTGTGTCTTCAAGGAGGAAACACGAGCAGTTAGCTGGAGGACAGGGAGTATGGTGAAAGGCAGCAACTTGAACGTGTACCGAGCGTACGGTTTAGCAGCATAAACATTAACGCAACAATATATACAGGCCCAGTCAAAAGGAAGGCGGGTGATGTTGGATTGCGAAACTGTCTACTTCCCCACAATGAAAGCCAAGATCGCCAATTCTTTCATCTATGGGTGCAGGCTCATTGTAAATGCTGCAATACATGTTTGAATAAATATAGAGTTAATAGGTTTCTCCAGGGGCTCCTCCACCACTGGAATTCTGCGCCAGCCTCCTGCCGCACGCTCATGATGCATTATGTTTTATGCCTGATAGCAGCGTGTTTTTTGTACCGTGACCGCGCTGCTCTTCCTTTTTCTCCGTTCAGTTCTGTGCATCTGCCTGGTGGTACTTTATCTGTCGGTGAGAGGGCTTTGGGTTGCTACGACTGAAAGATGGGGCTGGCTGCTGTATTTGGCTGACTGCTTCAGCTAACCAGGGAACTGCCAGCTCACAAGTGTATCCTTGTAAGCTACATGGATAAAGGCCGAGGCCGTAAGGGCAAGGGGCCAATAGGAGATACAGTGCGCGAGGTAGAGGAATCGTTTTCAATATGTGCAAGCCCACTTACCTCAAGGCGGATCAGGACTAGAGGCTTCCTTTGTTCTCCTCAGCACGTTTTTCGTATCTGAAACCTGTCCCGTTACTGGTCCGATGCCTTAGCGGCGCGGAGGAACGGGAAAATTCCAGGAGTGCGGGCAATGTTTGTCGAGCCTATCCTTGCAACGTACATGCTTGGTTGCTCAGCTGCCCCAAGCTCGTCAAACTGTTACTCGTATTGTGGTACGCTAATTACTGTGTCTCACGCCTTGGCTAGTGTAAGCATATTGAGGAAGTGAAATGGCTTAAAATTTTGACACTTCTTTCATTACATCTAGAATGGAGCAGACTCGAATTCACAGGACACGAGTAGTTGCTGTATGGCTGCGATATAGGCTAGTGTCCGGGGCTGTGCAAATGCCCGGACAGTGTAGAGTGTGCAGCTAGTGCACTGCCAGTCTCCTCTTTCGGAGGGGAGTCCTTAGAGGAGGAAAAGTTCTGCTCGCAGCTGGGTTCAACTTTACTTAGAAGCTTATGGGTGCTTTCACCCGTTAACCTCCTCTCAGAGAACGTAGTAGGGGTTTGAGTAGGGCTGGGAGCTGAGCACGCCGCCCTTAACGACGGGAGAGCCGTTCTATCAACGGAGCCCTCTAAGCCTCTACGATTTTCCATTTTATATGTAGGCTTACATTTACCGTTGAGCAACACGGCATTTACCACCTTCGTGCAACGCGGTTGTACCGCATTCGGTACGTGAAGCGCGGTTGCCGAAGCGGGACACACAGAGGCGCTTGTGTAGGCATCTTGAGGCTTGGAGTCCCTCCCAAGGAAGCAAAATTCAATATTTTTGAGTGAATAATTGCATTGTAGCCTCTACTCTACGGTTCTGCAGGCTGCCGTGGCAGTCTGGCCCACCGGTCATGGGATGAACTGCGGCGTTAGTGGAGATGCTTCTGTTCCTGCTTCCACAGTAGCGGCTGCATGTTTCTGCTTACACATCAACATGCCGCAACGTAAATAAACAATTGATGTACACAAGTCACGTTATATACACACGCTGAGACAGAACTTGAGGCTCAGCTCTAAGTGCCTAGGCCCCCAGTTGGCCGGGCAGCGACCCATACTGAAACCGCGGTCGACAGTTCGGCCGCTGGCGGCGCAACAGCAGCCGCGCAGCAGCAGCCGCTACACAGGCGTCTGTCCGCATAAAAGGTAAAAGTGATTGCTTCTAGAGAAATATCACCTATAAGAAGCATTTGCTGCCTCTAAAGCCTGCAGGGGCAGCAGCCGCTGTCGGCGCTGCCCAATCCTTCCACGAGGACCAGCTAGAGCGAGCCCTCGCGGAGCACTGCTACGTCTTCTTCTCCCTTAACAAACGACCAGCCGAATCAAGAGCATTTATGTATTGCTTTCATTCTAACTCAATTGCACTGCTGACACAAGGGGCACTGCGGCTGCTACTTCTGGTGCAGAGTCCGTTGCGGTGTTCCCGCTCCTTCTGTGATGCCCCAAAAGTGCAGGCCATCTCTTTGCACGGGGCATCTCTTTGCATAATAAGGTGAATCTGTCCGGTCCGTTACGTGATTCCAATCTTCTCTTCTGCCCTCAATATGGCACAGCCCACGCTCTGCCCAATGGGAGACTCGCCGTCCCTGTGGCGACAGGGCTTTGAGGTGAGCAGCCCTCATCCGTTGTTCCCCTCAGAATTCTTTCTAACTGTCTCTCGGTATGTGGCTCTGAGTGCCTAGGGCGTGGCCTACAAAGGCTGCATCAGTAGAACCGGCACCAGCAGGTGTAATGACGCTCCGTGCCAGGTTTCTTGCTATGTCATGTCCTCAGGATAGCAGCGGAATTTGGGTGTCTCGCGCCCTGACCTCGGGGCTGGAAGACGAGCCGGTGCAGCAGTACCGTCATCGGTACTACACGCCTCCCCCGCCATGCCCCCCTACGGTGGTTGTCCCCTTGAGAACCAACTTCTACGAGCCATGGGGGTTCTCTACGCCCCCAGTGGAGCCGGGGGCCCGCAGTACCGACAAGGGGCCGCAGCAGTACAAAACTGTGTTCGATCGGCTGACGGATTCAGCCTTCTACACGGTGCGTGGGGGCGAAATCCAGTGCCCATGAGTTACACCCAGCGGAATTAAGGGTAGAGACCCGCTGCACTGACTCACAGTGCTTCTGCCCCTCACCCTCCACCAATAATTGTCAGTTGATTAGCCTCTTAATGCTTGCCATTTGATTATGCATTTAGTCCACTCAGCAGCTCGTGAGCCTCCAAGTGCACACTGCACCACTCAGGTCTCTGTCTCCCCTCCTTCCTGTTGTTGAAGCATGCATGCAAGCCCTATGGCCAAATAGAAGTTTCTTAAAATTGGGCTTTTGACCCTTCCTACCGATTAATGTGTTTCTTTGTGCGCTGCTAACCCTCAGGGCGCTCACAGAGAGCGATTCGATGAACTAGGGAATGGGAGGGGTCTTGCTGGTCGCGAGTACCTTTACACGCACGACGGCATGACAGAGAGTCCCTCAAGAACTCACGAAGTTTACTCATCAGTTGTTAGACGACGTCCGTCTCAATAATCCTAGATGTGGAACTGATGGGATGGCCTGTGTGTGTGCTCCTTCCGCACCGACGGCGTGGCGTCTCGCTCTGCCCTTCAGCTCCTCCTAGGGCTATCCCTCTGTGCACTTTTCAGCGCTTCTCTGTTGCTCTTCCTCTGCAGTTTCCTTTTTCCTCATGTGCTTGTTGTCCGTCAGCGGCCTGCCCGCGGCGCCGTGCCGTGTACTGGCGCCTCCCCGAATGGACTTTGTGCGCGTCGTATGGTGGGGTGGGTGTGTTTCTCATCTGCTTCTCTTCAGCTCTGCGCCGAGTGTGTTTGCGTCCCTTGTCGCAGCTCGCAAGGCCCTGGTAGCTCCCGGGACTTTGGGGGTCCAGCGATTTGGCCTGCAGACCTCGCCGCCCCGTCTCCTGTGGCTCTTCCGAAATGGTGATAAGCATCATGATGGGACCCCCTTTTTCGTTAAGGCGCACATCAAAACTCTCGAGGCGCTATATCAAGAGCTCACCAAGGTAGCCTATTTTTTTAGAGACGCCAGAAGCAGGGGCGAAACCACCAACAGGAGCATGGCTAGTGGGAGCCTCTGCTGAGCAAGGCTTGCGTGTGTTGCCAGCTGGCTGGGTTTGCTGCCTCTCTGCACACGTCTCTCCCTCCGTCTTTTCCTCCGGCGTGTCAGGGCACCTTTTAGTGGTGGAGAAAGTGTCACGCAAAATAGCCAAAAGTCATTGAAGGGGATATACGGAGAATCTAGCATGGCGAGATCCCAGCAGGGGATTTTTTCCTCCTGTGGCTACATGCTTTTAGGTAGTGACTCCGATTGCGGGGCCTGTGCGTCGCTTGTACGACCAAAATCTCCGCATTATTGGGGACCTTGCAGATTTAGTGGATGGCGCGAAGTATCTTTGCACCTCAGGTCAGGCTCTTGAGCAGAGATATCCCCCCCACACTCTTGAGTCTCCTGTCTGCAGTCGTCGTTTGGCTCTGTACGGCCAAGGCAAATCGCAGCACCGAGTACCCTACTGAGCCGTTTGCATCGAGACAGCTAGCCAACCAATCAAAGCACTGGGCGTATACCGTGCCGTCAGGTTTCCCGTTGGCCTCTGTGTCTGCCTGCACACTTGCTTCAGGCGAGCCCCCAGCCTGCGCTGAGCGCCTTCAAAAGTTCTTAAGTGAGTGGGTAATTCAAAAACCACAAACCAAGGTTTGGAGCGAATTTTTTGTTGTCTAGAGAGGCTATTAGAACACACTGGATGGGCATCCAGGTGCTCGCATTTGCCGGTGGCAACGCATAAATCGTCAAACCGTAGTCGCTTTTAGAGCCTGTCTAGCCGAGACGGTCTACAGGATAGTACGGCCATACGAAGGGTCTGTTGAACCTTATTGTTTAATGAACTCTCGTTTATTGATGAATCTTCGCGTACGGCATGTGGTACAGTCAAATTTCACGGTTTGCTTGAAGCACTGCTAAGCTCAGGCTTGGCCAGAACATCCTTGTGCCCCGTCATAGCGAACACCTTTAGGTTGTTAGTACAGACTCCAGCACTTTAGGAGCTAGTTGCTGCTTAGTTGCTCGCAATTACCTGTAGCCGGTTAAGTTACACACCAGCACTTGCTGCTACACCAGTCGCATCTGATTAGAAAGTAATATCAAGTTGGCTATGTGATTGGGCTGTAAAAATTGTCCTATTCAGTGTAAAGTAGCCTTAGCTCAATCCTGTAAGAATCCTGTGGGTGTACGCTGGATGGTGCGAGCACCTAGTTGCGCATGCTCGAAGTGTACAAAGGGTTTAGCAAATCGCTCCTAGCTGTCCCCCCCAACTCATGTCAAATCGCTGAGAGTCGAGGGGAAGGAAAATAGAAAACCCTTTCAAAAGGAAGCTCAGCCTTCTATATGTTATGTATCGAATGTGGGGTTAGGTGCCTGTCTACGGATAGGAGCTGCTATCAATGCATGGTTCGATCTGGCTTTTCCCTGCTCATCAAGTGGCTATGGATACAGTAGCATGCCACGTTTCCCCACATCAGCTACGCAGCTTCGTTAAATTCATTTGATAGCTCAATAACACGCTCTTCTTTGCCAGCTTCTTCGAGAACGACCCCTTGGCGGTGTGAGCAGATGGCGGAACAACGCCTCCGGGGGGGGCAGGGGTCGGCCTGCAAGCCAATGTGAACGCGGCACCTCCTTTCTTGATAGAATGACCCGATTTGGATATGGTGTATCAATTATCTCATGCCGACCCGACCACAAAAGTGTGGTGGCCGTAAAGATGGCCAAACATTCAAAGATTTCAGCAGCCAGTTGAAGATGGACCACATTTTTAATAAGCTGAGGGGCGATACACGGGCTACAGGGTCAAGAGGGAGTCAGGGGGCGCGATAGGTCCTATTTCGCACTGAAACAGGCTCACAAAGCGGTCAACAAATTGCTAGCGTTCCTTGACACAGGATGTGAAGTGGAGCTGTAATCGAAAGAGACGGCGCACATAGGCGATCTACATGGTTACTAGTTTGCTCAGTCTTAAGGCTAAGTCAAGTTTACGAGCAGTACAAATGCAAGCGTTGGCAGGGCTGCGTCACTTATAAGCCACTTCAAAAAGAATCGGGCCATGACAGCATGCTTTGTAACTTCTACGTTGTAGCCGTGACCATAACGCAATCTTAGGTGTGCCATGGATGATCCAATGGAAGGCGTTCATGCGGCTACAACTGCCTGCTGGGGTGCTTGCTTCGCCAGAAAATGGCTAGGAAAAAGGTTTGATTCGAGAAAATAATGCTGCTGACTGCATAGCTTGCAGTCAACGTCACTTGCAGTGAGTAGATAGATGCACTTGAAAATGAGTTTTTGCGTCATGCCGAGCTACGTTGCAGGGTCTTCAATGCCGAATGAAATCGCGTGTAGCGTGATACCTGAAGATCGAGACGGTTTTGCTTAGTTTCCGAAATGGACCTGCCCACCCTAACCCCAAAAAGCTTGCATCGTCTTTCCTGTGTAAGAGGCCAATGCAAATACTCGAAAAGGAAGCCGGTTGAATAAGTCTCTGGCTGCACGCTTGCACGCTGTCGCACGTCTGCAGGTCAGACACCATCACCTATACGAAAAATCCTTGTTGGCAGAAATGATTCAATGCAACAAATCAACAGCACTCTATCTGCAGAATATACACTCGAATCGTGCTGAAAGAAATCGCGCAACACTGCGATTCCTTGTACCGAGCTGTTACTACTCTTTAATAATGCGAACAGACAAATCAATTGGTCGAATCTCTAGTAATCCTTGCTTAAGAATAGCTAGCGCAGTAGAAACAGCCACAGTGTACATTAAGTTTCTTTTAGTCCGTTTCTCTCACAGAAGCACAATCCTGACGGGAGCCAGCAGGGTGCGGACACAGGTCTTTTTAAAGCCCAGACAGCTCTCTAACGAGTTTGTGCTATGTCTGGAGTTATGCCACTGTTCACGAAGACCTTAGAGATAGCGCCATAGCTACACGGTTACCGCACGCGGATGGCGTATAGAGTCGGCTGGCCACTTATTTTACGAGGTCCCTCGGCGATATAAGGGATGGATGCCATTAGCCGTATCGAGGATAATTCCTCCTACAAGAAACTCCCTCCTCAGCTTCGAAACGTGGTGCCTTAGAAGAGAAGGGACAGTCGATGGCGTGGCGATACACACGAAAGGCTCTGCATACAGCAACAGATTTTCTGCTGTGCCGACACATCTTGAAACTCCTAGTCAAAAGCAGAGCCTTCTCTGTAGCAAGCAAATAGAAGGGGGGCCCTCTGGGACTAGTATCCGAGGGGCCCTTGGGGAGGGGCCCTTCGGCGTACCGGTCTCTTCAGGGTTCGCGGAGGTAGGACTTTCAGAGACATGCTCTAGCACATCATATGTAAGACCCCTATGCCACTTTTATATGTTAAGCGATCAGAAGACACGTCTTCAGCTGCTGCTGCCCTGCGGTGACTGCAGCAGATGAGCATTGGGGCGCGACCAACAAGAAGCGCAACATCAGAAGCTAGTGCTTTTTCGCTACGACAACTGCCCACGTTACCGAATCGAGTACAGCCTTCGGGTACTCTGCCTGTGATTTCTGTCATCGTAATCTTTGAAGGTTTTGCTCCACCGTACGTTTTGACCGCCACGAAGGGTTCTGCATGCGCCGCGCAGCCGCCCCGGTAGAGGCATAACGTGAAAAACAGCAGTAGAGCAGCTGCACTTGAACTCCATTGGACGACAAATAGGGCTCACTGGATGCTTTAGGGGGGCCCGTGGAGTGCACGACCACCACGGCAAGCGGCTGCAGAGGAGCTGGAGTGCCTACGCTGGCTACCCCTCTTGCAGCAACAGGACCGACAGCAGCAAGCATTGTGCCTGCTGACTATGTCGTAACGGCGTAAGCAACCCCCCATGCAGTGCTGAGGCCCTTGGCTCGCCTGCTCTTCACCCCGTCGACCCCTGGGAAGCCGCCTCGCTCCAGCAAACAGCTGCAGCAAACGCGGTCGAAGGACAGCATCAGCAGCGACGCAAGAGGGAGAAACACGGCTGCCAGACGCTTCCGTATAAGGTATAGCTCTAGAACCATCTGTAGTGGCCCCCACCAGAGGAGGTGCGCTCGATTGCCCCTTTTTTTAACCAGGTGGTTTTCACATTTTGGGCGACGACAAGGGAACATGAGAGGGCCCCTCCTGTAGCCGAATTTCGCATATATGGTTGCACTATTTGTTTCGTGCCTGTATCGTATCGTGTGCAGTCCGGTTGGTTGCTACGTGCCCCGTCCTCCCCCGACCTCTCTCGTGTCGGCCTCTCACTTAATTTGTGGCGTTATGAGTGTTCTTTCCAGCCGGTCCTGCCCCGTGTTTTCTCCCTTTCTTTGCGTGTAGTACTTGTGGATTTCGCTGCCATGGCTGGCGTCGCCATATCCATGCTGATGTAGCGCTGTGCCTCTTCAAGCGATGTGCATGCAGCGCCTCCTGACGCCTCCTCGTGCGCCTTTTCAGCTTTGCCTGTGGTCGCAGATGCATAGGGGGCCTCCGCAGCAGTCTCCGGAAGACACCGATGAACGGAGAGCTCCCAGAGGTCGCGGCTTGTACAGTGATCGCGTTCAGGATGATGCAGCCGCCGAGGCATCCGCCTTGCAGCAGCAGCTCCAGCAGCTGCTGCGTCTGCAAGACAACCAAATGCGTTCCAATCATGCTCTCGGGAGACGCCTCTTCTCAGTATTCAGCGGCGAGGCCCCCCCCGCTGGCCCCTCTGCCGCAGCCGCTGTGAACCTTGCAGCAGACGAGGCACCAGCGAGCGACGCCGCTGCTGCTGCCGATCGTACAGCAGAGGCAACAGCAGCAGCCGCGGAGGCTGTCACGGCAGCAGCAACGCCCCTGCAGGCACGTGCCGCTTTGGGAGCCTTGTGGCAGCAGCATCACTGCCCACGTCTCGCTGCGTTGCAGCGCTCGCTGAGGACAGAGCGACCACAGCCAACAGCCCCCTGGCCGACAGACGCCTCCGCAGATGCAGCAGCAGGCCTCCATCAGAAGGCCCTCCTTGAGGCGCTGCAGCAGGTTCAGGGGTTCTATCGGTCGCTCTATAAAAAGTTTCGCTGGCGTGCCTCCCAGGAAACGCTTCAAGAAGCAAAGTCTCTTCGTGCTGCAGGCGTAAGTCTCGCAGCAGCATCTGCCGTAACCGCAGCGGCTGCCGCTGTTGCGGCTGCAACAGGAGTACCAGAAGGCGCTGCCTCTCTCAGCGCGTCTTCCGTAGAGACTGGCGAGTCAGCAACAGTGGCGGCGGCAGCAACGAAAGAAACAGATATGTGGGGAGAAGCCGAAGAGAGACTGCTCGAGGCAGATGCTGCCGTCGAAGCGTGCGAAAAGGGCGCCTCTACGATGCACAGTCACCGATTTTGCATGCGGCACATCCTCGCGCAGATCAAAGTTATCCTCGCTGACCTTTCTGGCTATAGGTGAGGAGACTACAAGTCAGTAACAGCAGTGAGGGGGTGGGATGAAAAATGAGGTGAGGTGGGATGAAAAATGAGGTGAGGTGGGATGAAAAATGAGGTGAGGTAGGATGAAAAATGAGGTGAGGTGGGATGAAAAATGAGGTGAGGTGGGATGAAAAATGAGGCGGTTCCTGGAAGAAGCTGCAGCAGGCTCACTGCTTGCTGGAAGCGCAGCAGCTCCAGCATAGGGTCCTGTTTTTCAATCGGCTTCGATGCGCAGCCTTCTCTCCCTTATGAGGGATCTCCAGCCTTATCGCCTTCCTGCCCACATCTGCATGCATGCAAATTTCTGGTAGTGTCTCGCCTCTATATGTGTGCTTCATGCTTGAATCTGCTCTGCCGCAGAGAGCGATTAGAGGTCGAATCTATCACTGGCTTTCTCGAGCAAGAGCAGCAGCAGGAAGTACTCCTGCTGCTTCGGCCTCCGCTGCCAGGCATTCCAGGCACCCTGCAAAGGACGTGTTTGTTGTACGGGGAGGCCTTGAGACTCTTTCCTATGGACGCTGCTGCCAGCACGCAGCTTTTCCTCGTGTATTTCCGCATCTTTGGAACCCTTCAGCGCCGGCTACAGCAAGTTGCAATGCAGAAGCAGCTACCCAGCAGGAAGGATCCCCTTGAGGCCTCTGGTGCTGACGATAGTCCTGCTGGAAGGGCGGATGCTGTTGCAGCTTCGTTTGCTGCGGCGTCTGTCTATTGGGCATTTCGAGCTGCTATTGGGCAAGTCGAGTGGCCATTGCGTCCCTCCTGTGATTCTGCTACCTGTGCAGTTGCCTCTGCAGCTGCTGCGTGAGTCTCTTACAGAGGCTGCCCGCTGTCTGTTTCTTGCTGCTACGCTGCAGGCCTTTTGCGGGCGGTAATCAGGACGAATTGACGCTGCTGTTACAGCGCCTCAGTGCCACTGACTTTGGACTTCCCCAAGTGCGCTCTCAGCCGCTGATGGCGCAGCAGCAGCAGCAGCAGCTTGCTGCAACCCTCCGCCGCACCGCCGGAGGATTCGCGCAGCAAAAACAGCTACTGCAGAGTCAAACGCTTTTGCAACAGCAGCATCGGCAGCAACAACAAGCGCTGGAAACGCTACAGGCGGACCAACAGCAGCACCTATGCCACATGCAACGCTGGTGCTTGCTGCAGCGCGACTTTGCCCATTTGCTGCAGAGTATACACTTGAGACTAGATCTTGATGAGCTACCGAAGGCAACTACTGCGTTTGCAGCACAGCTGAAGGCGCTGCTGGAAGAAAGCTCCTTAGGACCCTCGGAGTTCCCCGTGTTGCTGCTGCTGCAGTTGGCTGCAGCGGTTGCTTTCCTAAAAGCCACGGGGGCTGCAGAGAAACTGCAAAGCTCGACCGAGGGTGTTTTGCATGCAACAAGGAGACTGAGGCAGCAGCAGCAAGAGATGCAGCAGAGCTACAAGGCGCAGCAACAACAACGCCAGCAGCAAGTGTTGCAGCAGCAGCGTCAGTTGCAGTACAAGCAACAAATGCCGCTGCAGGGGGGTGCGCCTCCTGAGCGGGAAGCTCATCAACTGCGTGAGAAGGAGCAGCAGCAGCTGCTGCAACAGATGCGGCAGCTAGAGCTGCAAAGGCAGGAGGACCTGCACAGGCAACAGACAGAGGCCACGAATGCGCGATGGGAGCAGCTGTCGTCCGAGCTTTACGGCAAGATAACAGAGGGTCTGTTGGATATGCTGCAGAGACAAGAGGAACAAGAGCGGCAGAAGAGACTTTCGGAGCAGCAGCAAGAGCAACCCGAGCTGCTGCAGTTGCGCAAGTTGCGCCACGGGACGCCTCAAATGCAGGCTGCTCTCGAAATATGCTGTCGCATCGCTGAAACATATGTTGCTGCGGCTCGTACTGCATTGTTACGCTGTCTAGACGGAGCCGTACCAGCAGCGGGTGCTGCTAATTTTGTCGAGGCGTGCTGCTCTCCGGACAAGGAGAATAGCCAAACAGTGCAGCGAACAACCTCTTTGGGTGGCTTTAGCGGCACCGGCAGCAAATCTGAGAGTGCTTGGGGAGATTGGATAATCGCGAAGGGCAGTTCCTCCACGGAGGCCGCCTTTGTGGCTGCTTTACTGTCACCGCTACAGGCGCTCTTGCTGCTGTTTCAGTCTTTTCCTGGTACGCGAGATACTCAGTGCATTGTCATTTGCTGTTGCTGCGATGCGTTTCGCTGCCGCTGTATCCGCTGCTGCTGTATCCGCTGCTGCTGGATGGGGGTCATGCGCAAGGCATGTCTGTCTTGCGCGCCTTGCAGACCTAGATCGTGCGGATACGCCTTGCATTTCTGTTCTTCGGAAAAGCCTGTGCTCTCTTCTTCCACTGCTCTTTAAGTGCAAGGTTATTTTCTGTGCTGCTGCTGGCCGCCAGCGGGACCGCCGGCAGCAGCAACAGCAACAGCAACAGCAACAGCAACAGCAAAAGCAGCAGCAACAGCAGAAGGATTCCTGTAAAGACGCACTGTGGGAAATACAGAATGCATTGCATGCACCGCTACCCGAGGATCGGTTGCTCTTAGGTCTCCTGAAGATGCCGCTCGTGCTGCCGTCTAAAAGTCAGCTGCTGCAAGTCCAGGCTTCGGAGAAGGTTGAGGGTGTTGGAGAGGAGGAGGGGGTGGAGGCGGAAGAGGATGAGACGCAGGTTGTATCGCGGGAGCAGTGGGAGCAAGAGCAGCAGGGAAGCGTTTCCTCGAGGACTGATTTGTCTGCCACAGCAAGCTCACAGGAGGAGGTTTCATCCAAGGGTCTTTCTGCTAAAGGCCCGCGTAGTATGCTTGAAGATGACGGCGATCACTTGCTGCTGTTGCGAGCGCCCCTCATTGTCTGCAGTTCTCAAAGCACTCCTTCAGAGAAATCTCAAAAGGTCGCCCTGAAGACTTCCTCTTTGGCATCAGCCTCAGCAGTCCAGGCGGAGCTTTCTCCAGAGACTGTCTCCGGAGCTGCTGCTGTCAGAGGAGCCGCCATAGACGCCTCGGTGGATTCTCGCTCAAGGGCGGCCTCCCCACAAAGCCCTCCAGAGGCGTCTTCAGTAAGCTTCTTCCCTTGTGCTGCAATCCAACCTGTAGGGAACTCGTCGGTGTCTTCCTTTGGAGCGATTCCGGCAGCGACTTCCCTAACAAATAGTCCTAAGATCGCCCCTTCGGGGGTTTACGTGCAGGCTTCCGGGGAGAAGACGGCGCAGAGCGTCTCTGCGGAGGCATTTGAAGAAGTGGAAATCAGGCTCGAGAGCGTTACAGTGGCGGGGGGGGCAATGGATGCAGCTGCCGCAGAACACCTGTGGGGGCATCATCCCTCCCTAGCTGCGACACGCGCGGCTAGGCTTTTGCTGCTGCTGCTGGATTCGGATGAAGCCCGACAGGTGCTTCAGGAGGAGCAGAAGAAATTGCAGGTCCAGGCAGCCGCACAGCGGCTGCAGGATGCGTCAGAAAAGGCTGCGGCGACGTTCTTCGCGCGGCAACAGGCGGAAGACGCAGAGTTGCTGCAGCTTCACGATGACCGCTGGCAGGCCTCTTTGCAGCGGTCGCAGCAGCCGCAGTTATACCAGCAGCTGTCTTCGCGCGGTAGAGCGCATGCGCGGGGAAACTGGGGAGCTTTGAAGGGCCCTTCGAACCACAGAGGTTTCCGAGGCTTTGTCCACAGTGGAGGGGGCCTGAGAGGCCGCAGGGGCGGCTACGGTGGCTCATGTGTTGTCTCGCGTCCTACTCAAGAGGGAGGCGGTTTGCCTCGGTGGATGGTGAGCGAGTCTGGAGCATCTGGCGATGGCGATACTGAGGGCAGCAGTCTGCGGCAGTCGGAGGGTCGCTGGAATGCAGTCGCTTTGGAGTGGGGTTCCCATCCAAGAGCTCCCGAGGGTGATCGCGATTATCTCGTGGTAATTGATGGCAGCAACGTCGCCATGCGCCACGGCGATACTGTGAAGCGAGAGCGGGAGGGCGGCAAACTCTTTTCTACACAAGGCATCCTCTCGGTGCTGGCCTATTACAAAGACAGAGGCTACAAGGTGAGAGTCTTTGTTCCAGATTACGTCCTCTCGTACTCTTCCGTCGCCGAAGCAAGGCGGCAGGAACGTGCACAGTTACCTGTCAACCAGGCACGCCTTCCAGATTCTGTTGAGGCACTCAAGAAACTGCAGCGAGAAGGCACGCTGATCTCGACTCCTCCTCAGGATTATGATGATTCCTACTGTATCAAGGTAAGACGGGGCCTTGAGGGGTCCCTGCCTTCATACCGCGTGGGGAGTCTTTCATTGCCTTGCATGCGTGCTTCCTTGCGTGCCAACCCGCCTACCTGCCTTCCTATAAACTTTATTATTACGTGTGCCCCTAGCTCCCCATATGTACGGGCCCCTCCTTTGCCTGCCACCCAAACGCCCCTTTGTCGCGCGCCTTCTCGTTGGACTCCCTTCGCCGTTCCTTTGCACGCATCTCTTCTTGAGGACTCTTATATAGATATACATATATTTGCATGTATGCACATACGAAGGTACCTGTACTCGCCAGCCCTTCTATTTGGTCTCGATCTCTGTCTGGCTCTGTCTCTGTAATACTCTCTTACTCTCTACCTGCCTGTCTGTCTTGTTTTGTGGCACCTCCTTCTCCCTTGCAATTTCTGGCGGCCTTCTATATTGCGTAACGCTTAGGCGCCCTATTTCCTTGCACGCTTCCGTATATATATATATATATATCACCCTTCCCCTCTGCGAGCCGCATCACCTTCCAATTTAGCTGTTGCAGCGGCCGCCTCGGCAGCCGCGCTCACCAGTGTGCGTTCCTCGTCACGGACGCGCTTGCTTGTGCCTTTGTCTCGCCTTTCATCTGTGTTGCAGTACGCGCTAATGAATAACGGGTGCATTGTAACCAACGACCTCTATAGGGATATTACAAATAGGGTGCCGAACAAGAGCCAGCAGACTGCGCTTCGCGCCTGGCTTAAAAGGCACGTCATTTCTTTTACCTTCGTAGATGGAGAGTTTCTCCCTAATCCAGAGTTTCAATGGCCCCCTGTTGACGACCCCGCCCCTACCAACATATCCTGGGAGGCCCAACCAGTGGCGGTGCAGCAAGCATCGGGGTCTCGAGGAGGCCTCCATTCCCCCAGCCGACCCGGAGGCTTGGGGACGTAGTAGGTTTCGAGGAATTTACCTCAACGAAAAGGATGCAGTCAATGGCATTCACATTTGCTTTCGGGGTCTATTGGAGTCTTTACATGTTGGCTTCGATTATGCCCAGAAAGAAACGCGGAGGGGAGGAAAAGGGTGCTTGTAGGATGGCTTGGGAAAAGGGTTAGGGTAGAAGGGAGGGGGCCGGTTGCGGCGCAGACAGGGGGACATGCACGCTTCGAGGTGACAGGCCTCGCGATACGATGTCTTCGACAGTGAATCAACTGCGGAGAGCAGCTAGAGCAGCCCTTCACGTAGCACTGGGAGCTACATCAGAGCCTTTAGCCTGTCTGTTGGGAAACGCCATAGGCTGGCTGCGTCTCCTGTGCAAGGAGCTCTGGGGCATACTTGCTTGTTGAGCCGTTACACAGCAAAACGGCACTTCTATGGCGCTTATATATGGGCGCTTATATATGGGCGCTTATATATGAGCCAAAAAACGGCTTTTTGAGAACTTGGAGGACTCTTGGGGGAGGCTCTAACTAGTTTATCGTAGCGCGGCGTGGCTCTGAAGTGGTGCCTCTAAGACGAGACGCCGTACAAGCGAAGCTGGAGTTTGCAAGCAGAGCTGCTTTAAGTGTCATCTAGGGTTGAGCTGTTTGCGTTTGTGGGGTGTAGATAGATGTCCAGACTGCCCAACACTACACAAAATGCCCTTTATAATCGCCCGGGAACGTGAATACAGTGTAGGCATCTCGAGCAGGGTCCGCAAGGAGCGAGCGCGAGGCGCTGCAGATTGAAGGGAAGGACGCGATGCTGCATGCGATACTTTCAGGACTGCTGCCAGAGTAAGGTTTTGTCGCAGCCGCCGCCGCGCACAGCAGCCGCAGGTTTAGCAGCTGCAGTGGCGTCAAACTGACCATAGGGGGCACACTCTACAGAGGTGCCAGGCGATATAACACCAATAGTGGCAGCAGATGCAACTGTTGCAAACGTTCATCGGCGACAAACTCCCTACGCGCAAAGCCTCAAAATCGCCAGCGACACTGATCCCGCAGAGCAGCAGAGGCCGCGCAGCAACTCTTTGAACCCAACGGCAGCAGCACGAAGGCCTGAGGGCAGAAGGAGCGTTACAGCAGCAACAGGCGGTTCATCGCTCGTTGAAGCCGAGGCACCGCTTGTTCCCCCGCGCATGCTTGTTCGATATAGGATATCCGTATACCTAATTGGCAGTTTTATACATCCATAGATAGGAGTTGAGGACGACGCTGCAGCTGCAGTGAACATTTGCTGCAGCCCTTCACATAGGAGCATCAGGAGAAAGGACTTCAGAACCATTACAGTAGCGGTAGCGCTTGCAAGTACTGCAGGCAGCTACAAAAATGCAGCTGCGGCCAGCATGAAGCAGAAGCTGTTTCCTTTGCTAGTTGAGTTTCGCCTTGACAATTTCAGCAAAGCTTTCCGCAATCGCAGCAAAAGAACTTGCTGTTGGTTTTGTGTTAATACATGATGCCTCTTTTGTTAGTTGTTTGTTTGTGTGCCGTTATGCAGCGGTTTCCTCCAATTCTTTTACACTGTAGTACGCCATCAACCACCAAGCCTAAGCCTCTAATAGGGAGTCATGGTGGAAGGCTGCAAATACCCGAGCAAGGGGCCTCTTAAAAGAGCTTTTAGGGTTCACGATGTAGGCCCAGCCAGTCCATTAAAAAAACTTTATTGGAAGCAGTAGGGGGGAAAACATGGGCTACTGCAGCAGCTGCTTCAGGTGGAAAAGGCCTAGATGCCGTGCAGTACGCAGATGTCGGCACGACGCCATGTGCCATAGGAGACTGGAAGGAGCAGTGGCTGTTGCTCCGCGATAACCGAGCACTCTCGCATGTAGGGCACCTTTTTTTTCTTTGCTCTTGCAGCTGATTCTGTTCTCTCTGCTGGTGGTGGTGGTGGCGGTGGGGATGCGGCGCCTAGCTAGCGTGTTGCTTCCTGCGGCGCTTATAGGAGGAACCGCTCTGAATGAGGATGTCGATAACGTAGGGGTCTGCAATCACACACGTACACCCGTTGAACGCGGTGCATGGCCCTTCAGCTGGTATTGTAAGTAGCGCACCTACAGAGGGGAAGGCCCTCGGGTGAGTGCGACGCGTTTTTCAGATGGTCAGAGGGTTGCTGACCCCCAAATTTCTACCCGAACTCCCTTGCTGTTGGCTGCCTTCTGTGTCACCACCACTGTTCACGCGCCGGCACAGGCGCCTAATCTTTCTGGTTCGCGCTAGCTCCGCTTGTCTCTTTCTCTTCCTCTCTCTCTCCATATGCCCTCCAGTGCATAGTCACTCCACCCGCTTTTGTTTCCCCTAAAACAGCTTTTGAAGCTGCGTCTTACCCAGAATAACCTCATGCTGTGCGTGCAGTCCCATGCTCCTCAGCGTAGCCGCAACTTGCAGGTGCATGCCTGCGCCACACACATATTTACACCCGATTTACCAAAAACCACATTTTAAGAAGCACAGACGCATGGACGCCACAGTAAGGGGTACGCCTAAGCATCCCTAGAGAGTCCGCGTCTCGAATATCCGGCAGGAGTAGAGGAGGCAGGCACACCTGAAGGTTTTCCTGGATAGAACATCAAAGTTCTCGTCGTTAGCAGTGCGGCCTGCAGCAGCCGGAAACAACAGGAGGCCAGTGGACGGTGACCCATGTACAGTGAGTCCCTAAACCTCGTAACAAAGAAACAGAAACAGTTATGCATGCAGGGGAAGAGGCTCCAAAGCTGCAATGTGGGATTATGATAGCCTGCGAATTCAGTTGCAGCTGCACCCATGGCCCCAACGGCAATAATTACCAGGAACTTGTGGCCCTCATCTAGCTGCTCATACGGCTTAAAGACATCCGGAGGCTGCCGCACGATGGCTGCCGGCACTGCTGCTCCGTTCAGCTGCATGACGTGCTTCGCGATGGAAGTGCGACCACGATGACCCCCCTGGCGCTCAAGATGCCTTTGCTGTTGCTGCAGGGCATGCAGCAAAAAGTTTCCGTTGCTGTCGTACAGACGGTTATAGACGTTGCGTCCCTTGCTGGTGCTGTTTGGTTGTAGGGCTGCTGCCGCTGCTGCTTCTGCTGCTGCCACCGCTGCGGCCGCCGCAGGGTCCCCGTACACTCCGAAAACAGACATCGCAGACACCTTCAGCATCGTCATTGCCTCGAGCTTTAAATCCTTGCGCCTGCATGCAGCCTGCAGCAGTTGCTGCCAGATGCCCTGCTGCTGCTGCATAAGTGGAAAGCTGCACTCGTACACGCAGTCTAGGACCACCAGTGAGAAGAGGATGTTCGTGAGTCCTGAGAGTGGAGTCAGGCAAAGACACACAACACTTCGCTTGCCGTTACTAGCCGCCCCTTTCCCCCCTTCCCCCCCCCCGGAACAAACCATGGCAATACACGTGGGAGCAGGGGTGCTAGCAACGGCAACAGATTTATACTTGCCCTGAGTTGTCAGTTCTGGAAGCTGTGCAGGCACCCAGTTAGAGGCAGCGATTTTCCTGAGGCGTATGCACATCAGGCTACAACCATTTGTCTGTACAGGCCCTTCATAAAATCTTGTGGCCGCAGCCGCTGCACCCGCCGCAGCGGTGCAGGCTCTCACTGCTCCTGTAGTGCCTAGTGCTAGGTAAAGTCATGCAATCAACTTTAAATTTCTTCCATGCAGATGCACTGGCCATTCTCCCTGTTATTCCTGGGGCGACAAGTCTTGCGTCGTTCCGCAGATGTTGGTATTTGCAGAATCACCTCATCATCTCGCTGTTTCTGTAGCCAAAGCTGCCCATGGCGTGGATAATGTTGGTTGTCGCTTGTGCTGAAGCAAGCAACAACGAAGCGCGAAGCGTACAGCAGAACGTGTGAGGGTGCACGTGGCCAACAGTATTAAAAACCTGACGGCAGCCGCGGGGTAGAGGGTAAGGGCGCCTTACTCACCACCCATGAGGTGGAGTGATCTTTCCCTAAGGACTCTCCAGAATGCCTGCAAAAGGCCATCATCCTTCCAGCGCAGGTCTGCGACAAAACAAGCAGCAGACGTTTCGGCACGGCGAGTCTGTTGCAGCACGTGCGGCAGCGCTTCCAGGGGGAGCTGCCTCGTTTTAGTCTTGGAGAGCAACATGTGCCTCAAGTCAGCATACGCCGAACCCGCCCCCAGTGCGAAGCAACAGGAGAAGATACTCCAGCATAAAGGGCAGCATCACCAGCGCAGACACCGCTAAAGAAGCCCACAGGCAAGTCCATTGAGGGTCATGCTGACATGCTGCCAGTTGAAGCCTGGGGCCACTTCTATCATGCGGGGGATAAGCTGCGCGACATAGCGCGCGTGCCTGAGACATATAGAGCCGCCGACAGCGAAGATGTCTCTATCGCTCTGCTTGCTGCTACGGCTGTTGATGCCGCGGCAAGGCCAGCTGAGGCAGCAAGCAAGTTCGAGTCTTGCGGCTGCAGCAACGCTTGCACAGGCTACCACCATCGCAAAAGCGAGCTCCTCAGAGGCGTCCCTGTGCAGCTGTTAAGGCTGCAGACACGTCGATGGCTGCACCCGCACAACACCCTCGGTAGCAAACATCCGCAACTTACCCTTGGAGCCTGGCTTTTGCGAAGGCATTGACGGCGTTGCTAAGTGACTGCGGATCAAGGTGGTGCTGCTCCTGCACCAAAAGCAGTATTGCCCTGTGAAACAGCCCGTAGATGCTGCTGCTGCTACGCCGATCTGCAGGGCCCATCTCAACGCCCCGCATGCGGAAACTGCCAGTACACTCCACCACGCTGCTGAGGCGTGCCCTGCTGGTCTGCCACCGCTGTAGCTCATCCTTCTCCCCAGAAGCTGCTGCTGCTGCTTCTGCTGTCGCTGCTTCAGCGCCGTGTTGCTGCCGCTGTGCGTGTTGTTGCTCGGAGCTGCCGTAGGTGCATGCAGCAGCGTCTATGGTGGGGACCATCTGATCTGCTGCGGCCGCAGCTGCTGCGGCGGCAACTGCAGCAGCCGCGGACGCTTCAGAGGAAACGTCCCGGAGCGACACGAACCCCAAGTGCGCGAGCCGTGCAAACGAATTGAGTGCATTCACAACATTCTTCAGCTCGTGCGGCTTCACCGGAGGAAGGTTCGGGTATGTGTCTCGAGGATGCCTTTCTTCAGCGTCGCCCTGCGGAGAGGGTGCAGTTACCTCGCTCAGGGGAAAGGATCGCTGCTTCTCCGGTTTCTCCGCTGCGCCATCTTGAGGCCGCATGTACTGTTTGAGCGAGGCGTCATAAGCCTCCTGGGCAGCAAGAATATGGTCGTGAAGAAGATCGCGAAGGCGAGCCCTGGATGCAGTGCTGCTGGCCGCTGCTGCTGCGGCGGCAACGTCCTGAGGGAGTGCTGTGGATAGGCGTGCAACAATGTTGCACCAGAGCTGCGAAAGATTGTGCATGTTGATCTGCGATTCTGCTTCTTGCACCTGCTGAGGCTCGCGCTGCAAAGTCCTGTGCTGCCGCTCGCGATGGCGCTGCTGCACTTGCTGCTGCAGCAGCACGCGAGAGTTGATCTGGAGGAGGCGAGTGAGCGAGTTGAGCTGCAGAGTCAAAAGGGGGAAGGAGAAGAACGGGAGGAGCTCTTCCGTGCGCTTTATGAGGCACCGCAGCAGAGGCAGAGACGTTCGGCCCAAAGCCACACAATTCAATCCCTGGCCACATCACAGACAGACATTAGACAGGCAGACAAACAAAGACCGCAGATCTTTGACCTTAGAGAAAGCGACCGCTGTACAACATTGGTGGAGCAGCCTCATCTGCGCTATCAGCAGCTGCAGTAGCAGCAGAAGTAGGTGCAGCAGAAGAAAGCATAGAGAGGAAAGTGCCGGCAGCGTTGGCGCGATTGACACTCTAGGAGAAGACTTCAAGGGCCGCTACACTCTCCCTCCTCTTGGCGCGTGCTGCATCTCAAAAGCCTTAGTAAGTGACCCGAAATACGCCCCCTCCGTACAGGCAGCACGGGTAGCGGAATTTACCAGGGAAACCGTCTGGGGGGCATTAAACGCGGATGCTCTGTGGATAGCCAGAGCCTCTAAGAGGGCAATTAGCCGTGCGGAGGCCTTGCAAGAACGGGGAGCTAACTGATTTGCTGCTGCACTCAGAGAAACAAGACTGCTGCTCAGCAGAGAGACCCCCACGGCGTGCAGAGCGTAGCGCGTTTTCCAGGCATCTGCTTCAGGAGTTTCTGCACAAATTGCAGCCTGATCAGACAATGCATCTTCCGCAGCCCCTCCTGCTGGTACAAACTCTGCAGCGCTCTTCCCCCCCGCTGCGTCTACAGCGGCCCCTCTGGAGGCTCTCTGCTGCTGCCGCGTTGCTTTTGCTGCTTCGCCTGCTCCTCCGGCGGCGTCTGCTGCAGCCACAACACCCGGCTCAACGGGTTGCTGCCAAGGCACATACGGCGCAAGTACTTCGAAATCGTCCTCTGCAAAGCAGTGCCCCCCTTGCAGCTCCGCATCGTGCTGCAGAGGCGTTCCCTGCGTCTGCTGGAGCTTACACAGCTGCATGCGCGTCTGTGCAGCGAGGGTGAGCGAGCGATCGAGATGGGATAAGGCCCGAAGAACCAAGGGGACGCATGTGAAGTCCAGAATCTGCAAGTGCCGCAGGAGCATGACCGTCTGCATCACCGACAGGGCCTCGACCCCCCGCTGCTGCTGATTTTTTGCATGCCACTCGGGCTCTACCTGCAGCCGAGACAAAGGCTGGTCTGGAGCCTGCTGCTGGAGAGCCTGAGTTACGGCTAGCAGCAGCTGGGGATCTCTCCGTCTTGCCACAGCCAGCAGTCGCAGCACTTCTAGCAGCTCCTTAGGGTGCATGCGGCCGCTAAATCTGCAGATGTCGTCTGCAGCCTGCCTCCATCGCTGCAGCAGTTCGCGGCAAGCCGCGGAGCTCCTTCTCGAGGCCCCTTTGGATGCGCCTTTGGGTGGCCACTCTGCTTCCCCCTTCCGCAGGGGCGTCAGAGGGAGAAGGCCCCCCGTGGGGGCCCCCAGGGGGCCCTCCCCCTCGAGCACCACGGCTCCGATCCCCTCATCAGAGCCCAAAAGATACTCCGCCTCTTCCTCGGCGGGGGGGAGGCGCTGCCCACGCAGCTGCGTCTCTACAAGGGCCTGGATCCGGTGCAGGGCCTGCACACGCGGAGGGGGCGGAGGCCTCTTGGGGGGGCCCCCATGGGGGTCCTTAGGAGGCTTTGATTGAGCAAGGGCCTCCGAAAGCCCCTCGGAAGCCCTTGCCGAATCAGAGTGCCCCCCTCCAGGCGTTCCTGGGGAGCTTTCCTCTGGAGGGATTTCGCATGACTGGGCAGGTGAAGCACACACAAAAAACCGCCGAGAGCACAACGCCGGGCCCTCACTGCTCCCGCTGCTGCTGGGCTCCGCGGGGGAAGCGGCAGATGCGGGTAGCACCCAACTTCTGCGTATGGTGAGGTCCGTGCGGTGCGCTCGAAGGAGTTTCGGAGGGGCTACAAGGCCTCTTGAGTGAGGCCTACCCCCTAGGAGGGCCTTGCGGTGCGGCAAGAGAAGGCACTGCTGGTTCCTACCGTCTAGAAGTCTAAGGGACGGCCCTCGCCTTGGAAAAGCCATGAGATCATCGCTCGCAGGAGTCGGGAGGGTGGGACGGCGGGTAGCTGATGAAGCGGCAGAAACCTACACTCTGCCCTTTCTGCTCGTGCGCCTGGTGATGCCGTCGCTCTTGCTGATTCAGCATACTGTGGGGAATACCCGGTTTGACCTAGCAGCAGAAGTCAACAACAGCAGAAAACCTCACACCAACCTTCTCCCCGGAGGCAAGGCTTCCGCAAGCAGGCAGAGGAGGCGCAGCGGCGGGGTGCCAACAAGGAGGGTATAGACGAATATAAGGGCGAAAATGTGGAATATTGCCCGGCACTGAATGCGGTTTGCCAAATGCACGGTGAGTGCAGATGAAGGGGCCCCCATAGAGGGCCCCCACTCGGGTGGGATCTGGGGCCCCCGCAGCTCCCAGAGTTGGGTACCCCCGACACAGGGGCGGCAGCTGCAGTACTAGCAGCAACACACAACTCAGCATATGAGCCTTAGACACACAATCAAGGGGAATTGCAGGGTTTTTAGAATTGGTATGATCCTCTCTCCTTTGTGGTGGTGCGAGGGGAGGGCCCTGCTGCTGTCTCCAGCCCAGGAGCGATCATCGAGTCACCCGTCAAGCCCCTCCACACCAACGCCAGTACCGCTTTTAAGACAGCAGTCCCGTCACAAAGGGCGCATACAGGGCGACTTTGGTGAGTTTTTGAGACGTCCGTGGTGTGGCCATGAGGCAATCGCTCGTGCAATCTTCAAGTCCGGCCTTTGTGTGGCTGCTGCTGCTGGTGCCGCTCCTCCTTCACACAGTGCAGATCGGTTGCAGCAGCAGCAGCAATCACCACCATTCTTCTACGGATGTGCAGCACCCTCTTTTGCTTTCCCTTGAAGGGGCCTCAACAGCGCTGCTCGGACATGGCCAACACAAAGTCCTCGTGACACGAGCGCGGCTTCACGAGGTTGAGCTTCCCACAGCCTCGACAAATAGCGAAGCAGCAGCATCTCGAGCAGAGCGTGAAGAAGAGGAAGGATGTCTTCTGTGGTTGGAGTACGCGCTGCCTCAGGAGTTGTTTGTGGATCCGGATAAAACTCATGAGTTGGGAATTTCCCAGAAATCTACGAAGGCCCACCTAGGGGCCCCTGGAGAACCCCTGCTGCTGTCAGCCAATACGACCTTCATGCCATCGTGTCAGGGAATCTCCAGTAGAGGGGCCCTCCCTGAAGCCGAGTGCCGCAGGGGCCCTGTAATGGTTAATGTGGAACTGCCGAGCTATTCTCCTTTGATTGGGCCGCCACCTCTTGTGCGGCAGGAGGTGTTCATCAGGCGCTCCGAGCTGCTAGGAGGCGTTGCCACCAACATGCGGGAAGTAGAAATTCAGCTGCCTGTGCATTTGAGGTATGGCCAGCCCTGCAGTGGCAGCTGTAACGGCCTGCTGGCGGCTGCCGCTGCGCCGCCGTTGGTGGGCATTGCGTGCGCTGGGGCCCCCCCGCAACAGCTAGAAGCAGCGGCTGCAAAAGTAGGACAGGGCCTTTTGCATTTTACAGTTCCTGTGGGACGGGTGGCTCATTGGAACCTAGTTGTGGCTTTCAGTGGCTTGGCCGCCCTAGGGGGCCTACTTAGTGTGGTTTATGCTCTATCGGGATGAGGGGGAGACCTCAGGGCAGGCCCTAATCACTCCGTCAGCCTTTTATTGGGGGGCTGAAAATATCGGGTTAAACTAGCTGGCTGGTGCGTATTTTCTTGCACGCTTGCATGCGTTACGAACGCGCTGCATGCTGGGAGTTTCCATTAGGAGCTCAGCGTATATTGGGGTCCTCAGCTTAGCGAAGCGAGAAGGGCTCTACGGGCAGAGATATCTAGGGGAGTTTGGCCGAAAGCTCTACCAAAAGCAGTCGAGACAGCGGCAGGCAGTCAGGAGGGGGCCCAAGAAGGGAGGGCATTTTGGCACAGAACAGCGTCATAGACGCATACAAACGCACGTAGAAAACACCGACCGCAGGGGCCAGGGGAGGGCAGGTCTGGGGAGTAGCACGATGACAGGTGATGCGCTTGGAGAGTTAGAGAGGGCAACACTGTGTAAGAAGGGCATGCAAAGAGCCAGACAGTGGCGAAGGAAGGAGCGGCTCACTGAACGCTGCAACAGGAGAAGCACCGCCCGCTGGCGGAGGAAGCCTGAAAGCAGCAGACACGAAACAAAGGAAGAGCTTCTTCTGTATATGGTGGATGTTTTATTCATTTCCTGAAAAAAAATCTCTGCATCGCACCAAAATCGCATCCGTGTTTTGGCGTCGTTGAGGAAACGCCGTCGCGCAGCCAGGAGGCCCCCGCTTTTCTCTTCCCTGTAGACATGCGAATCAACAGCACCGTTTCACGGTGAAACTCTCTTTGACGGAAAATAACACAGCAAAATGGGTTGCGAATAGAGGCAGCGGCAGAAGGTAACGGCAGCGCACCGAGTCACTGTCTACTGTCGGTCCTACTGCTGCCGACGCTACGTATGTCCAGCAGCAGGCGCAGCCGCAGCCAGCAGCTCTGCAAGAAACAGGGGGCGCCTTCCGTTTGAAACATTATTGGATTTAAAAATTCTTACTAAGCTTTGCGCTCCTCTGTCTTCTTTGGGCGTCGAGGGAGTCGTTGGATGCCTTTCTCGCAGAACCATAAGGCCTCGGGGAGCAGCGATCCGGATCGTTGGCTGAGGCACTTCTATCCCAATATGTGCTCCTACAGGTTCCGCATAGCACATCCCTGCCATTTTTTGAGGTGATCACTGATCCGAATGGGCCTTCGGGCCTGCAAAGCAGCACAACGCCCAAGTTAAGAACCTCGGGGTGTTGGCTTACACCGTTCCCGCAGAAGAGGTTCTCCTCTCCCAAGGAGTGGGACGCACACATTGGGAGCCCCTGAAGATGGACCCCTTTTGTGCCCCCGTAGCGCATACATCAGAATAGGGTGCCTCCTGCATACCTCATGTGGTCTCGAGGGGCCCCCGACTTCTCGGGGGCCCCCCCATGGGGCTGCTTCTGGTCTTACAAGCACAGCAGGAGGACTCGGCATAGTAGTGCGAATGGCTTTCTTCTAGGGGGAATGCTGTTGTTGCTGTTTCTCGCATTTTGTGACACTGCCGCTGAGTGCAGCTCTTCCTCCATGAACCTCAAAGCAAAAGCTCCTGGTTGGACACGCCGAGCGACTGCCCTTCCTCGAGTAAGGAACTCGTGTGTTTCTGCCATTGGCGCTCGTGATGGTGGTGGTGGTGCTGCTGGAACTGTTGCCTGTTTCGGGGCCTCTATCGTGGCTTTGCTGTTGCTGCTGTCTTCACAGGCAGGCGTCCGCATTCACGGGTAGGGGGGGCGGGAGTGATAGGAGGGAGGGAGTGATAGGAGGAAGGAAGGGAAAGCTTCTCGCAATGAAAGCCTGACAGATCTTTGCTTTAGAGGGCCCCCTTTGCCGCGGGTGTCCTGCAAAACATCACTAAAAAGGCAATGTGGGGAGTATCGTTCTCTCTCTCTGTATGTGTTTCTCTCTCTCTCTCTCAGTTGGCGGATACTGCCGCATTAGTGAAACCCTTTGCTATGGGTCCTATTTCTTTGCTGCAGAAAGTCTCGCTTCTGCAGTCCAGTGACAGCAGAAGCAAGAAGGAAGGCAAAAGGGGGAATAAAGAGGTAGGCGGCACAGCACAGCAAGAAGACGCCGATGACGAAGAAGATGATGATGATAATGATGGGAAAGGCAGTACGGAGAAGAGCAGCAAAGAGATGAGCAGTAAGCAGGAAGAAGGCAGCCAAAAGAAAAGTGAGAAGGAAGACGATGATGACGGTGACGGCGATGATGCAAATGGAAAAAGTAGCAAGGCGAAGAGTAGCGAGGAGGAAGGAGGTAGCGAACAGAAGAGCGAGAAGGAAGAGAACGATGATGACAGTGCTAAAGATGGGAAAAGCAGCAAAGAAAAGAGCAGCACAGAGAAGAGTAGCAAAGAGATAAGCAGCAAGAAGACGAGCAGCAAGCAGGAAGAAGGCAGCCAAAAGAAAAGTGAGAAGGAAGACGATGATGACGGTGACGGCGATGATGCAAATGGAAAAAGTAGCAAGGCGAAGAGTAGCGGGGAGGAAGGAGGTAGCGAACAGAAGAGCGAGAAGGAAGAGAACGATGATGACAGTGCTAAAGATGGGAAAAGCAGCAAAGAAAAGAGCAGCACAGAGAAGAGTAGCAAAGAGATAAGCAGCAAGAAG